TCATATATATTCATGATATATCTGAGAATATTCCTTTTCAATAATAATAAATATGTTTGCATGGCCGATGAAAGCAAGTGTACACGCATATTTTAGCAAAAAAATGAAGAGGACATCGGCAAAATCTTCCATCCTTTGGGATAAACTCGCACCAGCAGCTCTCCTATAATCCTGTATGCTGCCAATAAACCGAAAAAGAAACCCGACGCAATTAATTCAGCGAACGGCCCGCTCGCATTGAACAGAGATAAAGAATCGTAGAGGGAGCGCAACGCAAATAGCGACATTTTACATAGCGGCATGGGGTTGTAATGACATGACTCGCTTCTATGGGGTGTCCTAAACGTGGGAAATGTCTCGGAAGCCGACTCTCATACGTACGACGAACGTCGACCAGTTGAGCAGGAGCGCTTGCATTGCACACGCCACCTTGTAGATGCGAATTGGGGTGGTGGAGGGATGATATCCACACCTGACTCTCCCGATCTAGCATAGATTAGGTTTTGTCTAGCACGACAATCTGGTGAGATCTTTCAACAACGAGCTTTCCGAAAATTTGGAGGAAACACTTGATGTTTGATGTGTTCTACACTCGGCAAAAAACACTGCCCCCTTGTCCGATTTTGGTGAAATTTTGACCAAATCGTAGATTTATATTTCGAAAAGTTAACCTGAATTCTAGTTCCCAAAAAAAGCGGATGGCTTGGTCATTATACAGGGAATAACAAAAGATGCTATGTCACGCTTAACTTCTTAACGCCCTGTGGCAGAAGTGAGTGACAAGTGTTTTAAGAAAGATTTTTTTAAATTTGCAGAACCTACTGGAACTTAATCGATTCACATTTCGAAAAATCATCTCGAATTTGATTTTTTAGCACTCACCAGTAAACAGAAACCTTAATTACTCTCTCGAGCCAGAGATCAGTCACCGTTATAGATATATTTTCTGGTCGTGTTTGGCATGAGCAGTTAGACAGTCAATTTTCAATTGGAACGAACTGATATCTCAATTAGAAATTGCATTTTTGTAACCTGATTCTTATGATGATATACGTTTAGGGGAAATCAAATCTTGAACACAAGGTCGAGATGAACCTGTTTACATTTTTGTGGCAATAATGTTGAATTTATCTTAGAGATTGAGCCATTCTCTTGAAGACCAGGAAATATTGAAAATCATCAGAAGCAATATTTTACCACGATATACTAAACTTCTTCCTTTGCAGAATATAAACACTACAGCCGATTTGATAAGTTCCTGTAGGAAAGTTGATGAATCTGATAAACTCCAGCAGAGATATACTCCACTTAAATCCCTGAACTTTTTGGGGAGCAACCTTGCCTATGTTGATTCAAATATTGAAAACCAGAAGAGAAAATTTTAAGGAGTCAAAATTTTCTGATAGACCTTCTGTCTCAGGAGTAAACTCCAATAATGAATCGAGACAAAACTTGTTTTCTATGTAGAAAAATAGGCATTATCTCTCGAGAGTGTAAAGAGTCCCGCAAATTAGTTTGTGAGACCTAATTGCTGTGACTGATATCTGATGCTCCAGCATCCAACCGTATACCTAACATTACCAATCATTTGAACGATAATTCCAATTAATTTTGAATTTTTAGACTGCTCTTTTGTGGATATGGCTCAACCGAATTAAAAAAAGAGACCGTTTTATAGAGATTCAAAATTCCTCTTTAACAAGGTGTAACTTGACCCCTTCGTAGAATTTGAAATTTTGAAGGGGTGGATTCCTAGGGCAGGAGGTTATTGAAAGGTGGGTGAAAATTTGTTTATATAAAAATAGATTTTCAAAAATAACCTGTCGAAGGAATTTTTAGAATATATGATGTCTTTTATGGAATTATGGATTTTATTCCATCATAGCTTTCCACCCTGTATCTATAAACATTTTGGCGGTTTCACCAAAGTCTCTATAAAAACAAAAACCATGTTAAAACAGTTTGTGTCTAGGCGTTGACATTGGCAGAATATGACGACCAAAATTGTTCATTTAGATCGCACGAATAAGAATTCTCATTATGTTCGTGGACATCGTGCATTCCTAGAGAGACTATAGGGAAATAAGGTAGGTATTGGAATTATTTTGAACCTTTAGACACAAGTTTTTGGGAAAACTTCTTTCAGCAAAGAATTCCAATGCTCTGACGTTCTATAGACAAACGAGTTTATATGTACTTATTATTATCATAATTATTATTAATATTACGTTATTTTTTGAATTTTTTTTATCGCTTGGAGCGCACAAAAGGGGATCCCTATAATGTTCAAAGAACATCGTGCGTTCCTAGGAAGGATAGGGACAGGAGGTAGGTTATTTTTGTGTTTTCTTCTTTGAATTATGACAACTTAGACGGAACGTTCTGGCAAAAATAATCCAGTTCATTCAGGTTTTTATGATATGTTTTGATTTGGTTTAGCCTATGACAAAACTGATGTTTAGTACCAATAGCAGAATAGCACCTATCAGGTTTTGCATAAAATATAGGTAATCGAGGTAGGTACTTACCAAAGTATTAGCGTCATTTATGCCTAATAGCCACCGGTCAGTCTTCGAAATTTAATGGTCGACTAGCCGATCATAAAGTCCCAGGCTCAAAACGGAACTAATGAACTTCCTGTCCGGGAGAAACACACGTGCAACATATTGTTGAAATATGTTAAATATTCATACGGGCCTGCAACCGTTTGTCCAACTTTTCAAGAATAATGTAAAATTCCAACCCTATCCGTTTGACCGTAACATACTATTCAGTGCGAATTGTGCAAAAAAATCTTTTGTTGGCTCAGATTATTTTCACGGATGATGAGTCGAAGACCACGAAAAACTGGTTTGGCCAATACGCAAAAAGGGGTTGAAATGAAAGATGGTATAGGCAGGTTTGTTTCTTCATTCAAATCACCATCAGTAGCGTCGTTTTCATTCTCACCATTGTCCACTATCCACACTAAACAAGCGAATGCAGTTTCAAACAAACTCCATTCAGGCGTGATAAAAGCTCATTCCAATTCGATTTTCGATGGCAGTGTCAGTCTATTATTCTCCGTATTTATTATAACGATAATCTTTTCACATATTTTTCTCGATTGGATACATGTAGGATGGAAGTATGTCAAATGTTATTCCCTTTTTAGTGTTTCATATTGAGAAATAACCCCGAAAAGTTGATTATTGTCTAGGAAAACATTTCTGTCTCGCAGTTTCTTCTGTTTTCTTATCCTCATTCAATATAGACTATACTTACTTTTTTATGCTAATCTCAAACCATTTCTGATACCCGCCAATGGATGTGAATGTCTAGTTAGACAGGTTAAAAATACATGGCAAAAATAAAGCTTTGCTATTGAATAAACGGAAAGGGAGTGGCTTTTTTTTCAGGGTGTTATAGTTCTGTTCTCTACCTATAATATGTTCATGCCTTCAATCTTCAATCCATTCACAGGATTAAATAATTCAAGGGAGAAAATTTTCTTAATGTCTGTCCTGAAGCTGAAGATTTCTGAAAGTACTATTGAATGGACTATGATGTATAGGTAGAAAGAAACATTCGAAAAACGTTCAAAACAACATTATTTATTGTTAGAAATCACAATTCTCTTTCACACGCAATGTGAGATCATATTTTTATAAAAAATACATTGCCTTCTGGCAAATTTGTTCAAATAACTATCGTATAAAAAACTAACTATATTACACTAGAAAAATAAATATAAATGCTTTCACGTAAGGTACAAAAATGACTAAATTCGACGGTTCTTGTGCTAAGGCAAAAAGGTATTTACAGCCACAAGCGGTGAGCCTGAGAGAAACCAGAATAAAATCACTCGATCACTTTTTGTCAATGAATAGGCCAATCACCATTCCATACCTTGATAACATTCGAACATTTGACTAGTTTTGACAATTCTTACACTTCAACTTTTTTGTGTTCGCGTTTTTGGGTCTCAAATGCGATTTATATTGAATATTCAGTTGATAACATGAGTTGCTGAAGATTCATTTCAAACCCAAAATGGAACAACTACTGACCCTCTGCAGCTGAACGTAATATTCGATCAGATGAAATTAGTTATATGAACACATTTTGAACAATACTGTACAAGTTTCATAATCCTGTTCAGATTGAATATACCTATTATTTTTGAAGTATTTGTATATCAGCTATACTATTTTAAGATTCATTATTATCAGACTGTGACTGACGAAAAACGCCACAAATCAGTCGATTTTGGAAAACAAAGAAGCAAATGAAACGATTCATCGGATACTACGATTTCAACTCTAACGACAGCGATTGTCAATTTTTTGTTTCAAATGGCATTGTATATTTCAAATTTTTTTCTGATAGAGATGTTTTCTCCTGACTGTGCTATGATGCATAACAAGATGACTTTCGCGCAATTATGTGAAAAAAATGTCGATAATGAATGGATCTTTTCATCAAATTTTCTATTGAGTCATTGAGGTTGGGTCTGTTAATCATAGAACATTAAAATGTTGAGAAAATGATTTATCGCAAACGAATGACAATACAAACTAGTAAAAATTTAATGAATGAACCATTTCTTGACGACGGAGCATAACATTTTTTCAACTAATTTTGCGCGAAAATCAACTTTTTATACATCATTGTATTCAGAAAAAATACCTGTATCAGAAGAAGAATTTAAAAATATATAATGCCGTTTGAAAAAAAAGTTGACAATTGCGGTCGTTATAGTTGAAATTGGAAAAACAATCGTTACTGTCACCTTGTAGTATCTGATGAATCATTTCATTTATTCCTTTATTTTTCAAAATCGGATAATTTATAGCGATCCAATGGCTTGGGGCGTTTTTTGTCAAGCAGCCCTTATAAATCTGCATTTGTAATGACATAAAACCCATAATCACATCAAAGCAAGGTTGTGATTTTTCTTCCGGAAAGAACACTATACACTCCAGGAACACTTCACTCCCCTCTCCTCACACACAAACACCTCAATAAGCGACCTCAGCCCCCCAAGGCCTGTAAGGCTTCATCCCTTGCGACGTGGGGATGCTCTGACTATAATTCTGGTGGTGACTCGAAGTGGGTATGGTGAAAGTGTTCACCGGGTACTGGTGCGGGCTGTAAGCTAACGCCGAAGTCGTGGTGGTGGTCAAAGGAGTCAAAATAGCCGTAGAAGGGGCCAACCTGCTGTGGTCAGTTGTAGGCACAGGCACTGTAGTCTGCGCACAGGAAGTGGACACGTCGAAGTGGCCCAGGTCGTGCTGCATGTTCTGGTGGTGGATCGCAGCAGGCTGGTGGTGATGGTTGGACGCCGGGGAGGGTGGCAGCGAATTGATGGGAGGGTAGGGCGGCGGCTGGGTCCCCGCGTAGCCCCATGGGGCGGCGGCCTGCTTGGTGGCCAACTCGCGCTGGGCAGCGCAGCACTGCAGGTGCGAGGTGAGGCGCAGGCGTAGAGGATTCTGGACGTCGAGGCCTTCGATGCGCTCCAGGTATCTGGCCACTTCTGCGACGCATTCCCTGAAGCCCATGCCGTGGTAGTCCATCGCGTATTTGTGGGGGTCGAAGGCGAAGCTGTCCAAACCTGGAAAAAATCAGTAGGTTGGTTAGCAGTTGCTGTTGGAGATGGATTTGAAGAGTTGACAGTTCGCTCAGATGGTTGAGGAAAGAAGAAGAAATATCACGAGGTTCCGCGAAGATAATGGGTATTCCCTTTGTGATCCAGAAGATCGAGAGAAACCCGGATTCAAAGCATTTTACCCGTGTAGTCATTTTGAATTATTTTCTTATAAAGCTCAGTGTTCTTGATGTTATTAGAATAATGGGTGTAGAATGTTACATACTTTCATGTAAGCAGGGGCGGATCTAGGAGTTTTGCGAGTCTCATGATGTAAAAATGTAGGCATACTGGATACCAGAAAGAATCTTTGCATGTCCTTATAGCCATCCACCGGCGACCCTCATTATAGATATAGATAATAACAATAATTTTGAGAGAACTTTTTCTCTACTTTTTTATCCATTATCAAGTATTTTTAAGAAATCTACATACATACTGATGAAAAACGCCTCAAACCATAGCGCTGCTATTAATGATCTGATTTTGAAACAAAATAGCAGATGTAATTCAAATTCAAATTTCAACAGTAAGGTCAGCGTTAATTTTTCTTTCAAATGTCGCAATGCATAACAAGAATTTTATTCTGATCTAGAATCTCTTCGGAATACAGTAATTTAGAATAAGTTGACTTTTGAAAACAATTAGTTGAAATGAAAAAATAAATGCTCAATTGACAAGACATACTATCTGCATCATTGAATGTGAGTAAATATCACTGAAATGAATCAGTATTCCATTTTTCAGATATTCCAACACCACATGTGATTTTGAAGTGCTGTGAAAAAAAGTCAAAATATTCGAACTGGCCGTTGTTATGTTAGCACACACAATTCTCACATACTTTGAAATTACATAATTTCAGCGACATCTGAAAATTTCATGATAATATATATTTTTGTAAATTGAGAGTTTATCTTATATTTCAACTAATTTTGTTCGAAAATCAAATCATTGTATTCATAAAAACAATCTCTAACAGAAAAAATAAAAACATATATTTGTAGTGCCAGTCGTCAGTAACAAAAATCAGTCGCTTTCGATCAGTTGGAATTTGAAAAAGATCAGATCCTACTGATAGGATTTGATGATTAATTTCTTTCGCGTTTTTCTTTTTTAAAATCGGCGCTATATATGGCTTTGGGCGATTTCTGTCAGTTAGTCTGTATATATTAATGAAATAATATTTTGAACTTTTTTTTAACAGGAATTTCAATACTCGAAAGAAAACTGAATATCAGGTATTTTATGTTTACCAGAATCAATGTTCCTGAAGAAAAAAATATATTTTTTTTCAGAAGGCACCAATGGAAATTCCTTTTTTTGTTGCTTAACTTAATGAGCCGTGACTTCCTATGCCCCCTCTCAAACATTGCCTGGATCCGCCCCTGTATGTGAAGTTGTAATTATTATATTTCTGACATTAAATCCGTACTCAAAATTCCCGTCTTTTAGGTCGCATCCTAACAACTGACAAGCAGGTTCTAATGCTAAGGCCTAGTTTACAATGATTAGCCTATGTCAGACAAGAGATATTGGCTGATGAATATATTACATCGGTCAACTTGAGTGGCAACATAAGTATACGAATAAAACTTTAATACTAAACGCTCGTGCTGTTGCTGTTGGTCGATAATTATTAGCAAGTCATGAGTTATAGCTATTATACTATATTAATCAAGATGCATATACGCATAAACTATGGTACTCTATAGAAATAAAGTGTCGAAAAATTAATTTGCCTACTAAAAATTATCTACGTTCTAATTTTTTTTTTTTTCATCAAGGTCTTTCTAATCCACGTCATTGAAGGAAATATGAAATTCTCGAATACCAAGCATACAAAATAATCACATAGAGAACTAAATCATTACTAACCACACCGATTTTCATTTCATAAATTCATTAGTGGAGGAGCATGCGGGAAAATAAAAAGTACACTTTTCAAATATATAAGCGGATTTTGGAAATTCGAAATACAGGGTTCTCAGGAATATGATTAATTTTCGTTAATCCGGACCTGGATTTTCCCCGTGACTGATTGGTGAGTTGCTTGGGTAGAAGAAGCAGGAATTCCAAAAGAATATACTAGGTGGTTGTTAAGTTATGTCCAAAAATGATATCTCAGACTCGATCTCAGATATAAAACAAATATATGGTATATTCAGCACCACTTTGATGAGTTCTACCTACAGTTGAAGTTTTTCCATTTCCCAATGGGACACCCTGTATAAGTATGTACATATCAAGGAAGGAACATATTCAATGATGAAATTATAGAGGGTATATACAAATAGAAGTCATATGAACCATCATATAGAGATACTTTTCAGTTTGTCATAATACATTATTAAATAGTTGTTCTACTGATGTATCATGCATCATTTCCGAAATAATCGAATCCGAAAACCACCATTGCCCTTTGACCTCACCCATGTCATGCCTGATAGGGGCGAACGGGACCGCGCAATAGTCAACGGAATCCGCTGAAACCTGTTGCGTCAAGTCACTCATCGCGACTCGTATTGGCGTGTATCGTGCAGTGTTGCCAACACACAATAGGTAGTTTGTGTTTTCCTTCTGTGACTATAGGTATGGCATTCCATTCAGTGGTTGCTGGTTATTTTTGTGATTTTTTATGATGATTTTGACCAGTTTGCATTCATTACACTGTACCGGTTCAAGTGTGAGGAATTGGCTAACTTTTTGACATGCACTTAACACATGACATAAGAGTAGTTATTTTTTATTTTTTCTTGTATAGGTATCTTATACATAGTGGCTCATCAAAAACGTACCGGAAGGAAATAATTCCTCGACAGTTTGCTTGTCGGGGTACATCTTCTGCCGCAACAAGGATAGTAAAACTTCCAACCCCCTGATTGGAGATGTTCAAATCAATCAAAGAAAATTGTTCAACTGGAAATGAATGTCAAGTGACACCTTATTAAAGTGTCTGTTTGATTTCTGGAAATAGATTCAGTCGTTAACAAAATATGGAGCATCATTCAAATGAATTTTTTTGCTGTTTTTGTTGCTGCACATTCAGACAAGCCAGGTAGTTGCTAGATATTCTTGTGACTTGTGGTTGAAGTGTTTCAACATTGTTGGACGTTTCAAGTTACATTGAATCAACTTTCGAATTTTTTGTCAACCGATTTGTTGAGATTTCTATGCCCAGATGTTCTGAACGAGTGACTGGATTTTCAAAAATTAAGCATCAGCAAAGTATAGAGAATAAAATGGTATTTTTTATGAGATTCCACTTGACTTCTATTTCGATTCAAAAATTTTTGGGGGTTGAAAGTTTTACTCTGCTTGTTCTCTCAATAGTTGGCCGCCTGACAAACAACCTTGAAGTGTTCTTGGATTGTGTCGAAAAGTTCTTTCCTAGTCTATAATACATTGAATTAGGTTTTCTATGTGCTACCCTATATAAATGTAACATACTTCATTATGCCACATTGATGTTAGGAAGTATTTATTTCTGCTAGTTCAACGTTGATATTCTTGAGTTGGTGTTATTGGCTTATTTTTCTGAACTGGCTCAACAAACACCTATATATCCTAGAAAAAAGTGATTCATGAAGTGACATTTTGTAACCTGTCAACAGAGATAAAATGTCAACCTTTTCTCCCGTCACAGAAAAATAATTGTTTCGTTTCTCTAACCTTTTTGGTGTATTCACCGTAGCCATTTCGCTTTTCTTTTTGAAAATCCGAGTTGGCAACAGTGTATTTCAGTTTCATCGGCTTATCTCGTCGTTCCCACGGGTTCGGCCACGGTGCGCGAGTCCGCTCCGAACGCAGCTGGACGAATTCGAATGTACGAATGCGAATACGAAGTGGAAAATGCCCGTTCCCACGCATAGGTGTGTGTGCGTTACACGGCGCGAATCACCCCTTTTCAGGCGCATCCACCTGCTGCTAGGCCGGTGGGCAATGAGCGTGGAGAACGTTGGGTTAGCACGTTGGGACTTGACTGTTTTGGGTGTGATTGAATGGAGATGGTACTTTTGATTTTTCCACAAGGGTTTGGCTAATCACTTTCATTCATTTAGTTTTCGGAGAGAAAATATCGTTTTCTTCCAAATCAGATTCGAAAATTTCTTATCAAACACATTTGGCGACGCAACTGCTTTAGGTGTGATTGGATGGAGAAGTTTGTTTTAATTTTTTTGACAAGGGTTTGGCTAATCACTTTCATTCATTTAGTTTTCGGAGAGAAAATATAGTTTTCTTCCAATTCAGATTCGAAAATTTTTCATCAAACACATTTGGCGACGCAACTGCTTTAGGTGTGATTGGATGGAGATGTTTGTTTTGATTTTTTTGACAAGGGTTTGGCTAATCACTTTCATTCATGTATTTTTCGGAGAGAAAATATAGTTTTCTTCCAATTCAGATTTGAAAATTTCTTATAAATCACATTTGGCGACGCAACTGCTTTAGGTGGGATTGGAGGAAGATGTTTTGATTTTTTTACAAGGGTTTGTCTAATCACTTTAATTCATTTATGTTTCGGAGAGAATATAAGAGACACTTTTCCTATTTTTAGTTCATATAGTTTTCTTCCAATTCAGATTTGAAAATTTCTTATAAAACACATTTGGTGACGCAACTGCTTTAGATGGGATTGGAGGAAGATGTTTGTTTTGATTTTTCGACAAGGATTTGGCTAATCACTTTCTTCATTAAGTTTTGTTTTTTGGATAGTCAATTTAGATTTTAAAATTTCTAATAAAAAGACACTTCAGATCTTGAAATTTCCGGGATATCTGCCTATTGAGAGCTGTTTCATTGCTAATATAGCAAAAGAGAAAATTTCCACATCTGGTAGATATACAGCTATTTTTTCGAAGGAAAAATTGTGTAAGCGAGATGTTGGGTCAGTTCATTTGATATTTCTTTTTACACGTATATATACTAGAAGTTATTCAAAATAGTGAACAGGTACTTTGAAATATCAGAGTACCACCTAAGACACCACATTCTTCATGAATTGAACTCTTCAATAGAAAATAACCACTTTTTTAGTAACTGAATTTTTCAAAATATAGAACTGAAAATAACTAAGTACTTTTCTAGTTGATTTAAGAATCAACCAATCAGATAACATGCTTTGTCAAATTTAAATGCTGGGCCACTACAATGAAAGATTTTGTTTTGATATTTATAAAGTTGAAAAAATAATTATTTTCAATTGAAAATTCAATCTAGAAATTGAGCTTCCTTTTCAGCTTCAGATTTTTTCATCCTTCAAAAATATCAATGAAAAAATGTAATTTCAATATTCACTGAAAAGAAGCTGATCACCGTTAAATATCACAAAAGTAATTTGAGTATTCTCCATATTAATGTTTCATCTTGATGGAAAGAAAAAGTGATGATTGATTTTTATATCAATAACCCTTTCCCGAAATTTGGCAACGAATCACTTGAGAACCTAATGTCGAACAACGTTCCTTCTTATTGTATACGTCGTCCAACTTGTAATATTTATCGCTTACCTTTCGAATGCAACATCTTCAGGTGATCCACCGTCATTTGCAGGATCTCCGCTTTTTCCAGTTTGGCCGATCCCTGCTTCTCGAAGGCACTAGGAACCAGTCTCTTGAGTTCGCTGAGGGACATGTTGATTCTGTCCCGTCTCTTCTTCTCGATGACACCGCGACGTTTCTTCCTCGACAACATTTGACAGCTGTCAGCGTCACCTGGAGAGGTGCATCTGCAACAAAAATAGCCATCAGTCAACATTTCCCATTTCAACAAAATTTTCAGATACATATTTTCATAAAAAAAATTTTTATTGATACTTTCTATGCTGATGTCGTTTGGTCTGTGAAGAAAGTCATTGCGAATTTGGAAATCAGCTCTCCACAAGTATGACTTGAGAGAGGTTACGTTTGGTTATCTTTGAACAAAACTTGGCATATTTTTTATGAACTTGAACAGGACTAAGATTTGATTGATTGGCGTGTGTAGGAGCTGGTTAACTATATGGAGGAGCAGTGTTAAATATAAGTGTTTGTGAAAAAATGGGGGATCGCTAGCTTTGGTTAATCTTGAACGAAACTTGAGGTAGTGTTAGAAAGCTTGACCAGAACTAAGAATATATGGTATTAGTGAAAATAGAGATTTGAATTATTAGTGTTTGTGAAGAGCAATGAGAATGAAGTACTCCATTTGGTCAGCAGAGTTATGAAGATGTGAATGTTGATGTTTGTGAGGATTAAAGAAGCACTGGCTTTGGTTAATACGTTTTGGGCAAAAACTGGAATAGTGCCGGAAAGCTCAAACATCAGGAGTAACAGGACTAAGAATATATATGAATCACTGGTGTTTGTGAACATAAATAGAGCACTGAAGTTGATGAACTAACTTTGGTTCACATTCTGAGCAAAAACTAAGATAGTATCGGAAAGTTTGAACAGAAATAAGAATATACGATTCACTGGTATGATTGTGAAAATGACTAATAGAGCACTGCATTTGAAGAAAAAAGGTTTTGTTTTGTTATAGGTACTTGAGCATGGCTGAGATTTTGGATTATTAATGTTTGGAAGAACAATGAAGCAAGGGTTATGAATATTTGATTGGTTTTCGTAAAGATCAAAGGAACACTATAGCTTTGGTTAATCCAAGGGTTCACCTTTTGGAAAAAAACGGAGAAAGATTGAGCAGGACTGCGAATGTATATATTCAATGAGTGGTATGATTTGATAAATTTTGAGCAGAACTTGACATAAATTTATTGAACTTCGTTAAAGCTGAGACCTGATTGATGGGTTAGTGTTTGTGAACTTAGGGATGATCAAAGGAGCATTAAATTTGATTAACCCTGAGCAAAAATTCAGATACCCCAGTGTTGATGAATATCAGAAATTCTAAGATGACTTGGACTTACTGGTCTTTGGAAGATTCCTCGGAGTAAACATCGTCACAGTCACTTTCGGAAAGAGGTCTCTTGACTCCTCTAGGCACCGGCTGCCAAGAAGAAGGAGCAGCACCGCTGCCCGAGTATCCCCAATGCAAGGGGGTGTTCTGAGCCAACGAGTGGTCCATGTCGTCGTTCCTGGCCACTGGATTTTTCGGATCGGAAACAGAGTCGCGTGTCGGCCGGCCGTCAGATAGAGGGGCACACGCGTTAGGTGCACCGTCGATTGTAGACGTTGAATGCGTCCAACCCTGTTGATCAAGCGACGTTCGGCCACGTTTCCATCCCCACTATGCATCGACCCCCACCCGGTAGGGCGGAAATCCACGCGACAGCTTCCTCGTAGGCTCGCGTGTGCCCCGCTCACCCCGATAGCCGATAGGGATCGCCGTCTTCGTCTTAGCTTAGGAGTTAGGAGGTTTCCCATTCATGGCGGTCGGTCATTAGGTGGTGTGTTGGACGCGTGTTACCTAATTCGCGAATTTCCAGCGTCCGCATCTGGAGTTGGCCGCATGCCGATCGAGGATCAATTATTCAATCAATCAAATAGTAGATTGTTTTATTAGGATTAGTGATGGGTGATACCCGGGTATTTCTGATTAAGGGTATTTACCCAGGTAAATTCCCAGGAGCTGCGTATTTATGAGGATATTTCGTATTTATGAACTTCTCAACAGAAAACATGGAAAATTGCTATTTATTACACTATTTTTGCAAGGCTTATGTCTTAAAACAGGTTTTTCAATTTGACAACCTTCTAGACAACCAAAACCTCTGAGAAAAACAATGTTTAGATTGAACAACTCTTCATGAACTCACTCCCAGTGGTCTGGGAAAGGTATTCCATATTATCTAATATGCGACTCAATTAAAGTATGGTACACCACTTTCGTTGTAGTCTTACCTAGTTCATTGGAGACAATTCGCAAGGCATAACATCCCGAGGCCAACTTTTTACCCAAGGAATCAACGTGATTCTGAAAGTTCTGGAAGTTGAAGTTATTATCTAGGTGAATTCCAAGAAACTTTGTTGTTACTGTCTGTGAAGTGATCATATCGCTATCTAGATAAATAAAATGTCTTGTGGATTACAATAATTGAAAGATATGACGTTGGTTTTGTCTATATTGAATGAAAGCAGATTCGAGTTGCACATCTCTCTCACACTAGATATATCTTTGGCAATTTTATTGTGAAGTTTGTTTCGGTCGGTCTCATGCTATAGTATTGACAGCAAAAATAGTGAACTTACCATCAATTGAAACGATACAATCGGGTCAGATCCAACATTCGCCGATTTGTATTTCAGAATGAATGTTCTCCCTTTTTCATATCCCTTGGAAATGTTCGAGGTTTTTTTTGTCCCGTATATTTTGCGTCAGCGAGGTTTCCACTACAAAGATGTTTCCTCAATTTTCCGAATTCATCTTCGAATATGACATGATTTTTGTCGAATTTTGGCCTTCACAGTGAGAAAATACAAGAAAATAATTCGTAAAAAATTCTAATTCGACAAGGGTGGAATTATAAGTATGTAATTTGATTGGCAAATTATTGAAAATATAGAATCGGCAGCTGTCTGTCAATCTTGAATTAATTTCATCCAAATCGGTTCTCGCAATAACAGAGATATACAGGGTTGTCAGACTTAAGTCGGCACTATTGATGCTAATTTGGTTTTTATTGAAGCTACAATGTCAGTTTTTTGAATTGATCACAATCAAATTTTTCCTATTCCTTCTCTCCTGAAGTATGTAAGTCAATGAGTTTAAAGCCATTATTTTTCTCTCATCTGAACCAACTTTTTGTGAGAATCAAAATGAATAATTGATTGATTCCAATTGCTTGAGGTGTTTATCATCATATTTCCCCTATTGCTTACCTACTAAGTAATGTAAGCCCATTATCATTCATCATTCTTTTTTATTTTTTTTTATAATATATATATATATATATATAAAATAGTTTTTACATTCTTTTTTATGAAACACCCCGTATACTATTTCAATATTCAGGCAGAAAATAAAAATTCTGTAGTCCACATTCGTTGATAGATATTTGAATTAAGTATTTGATATCTTTCGAGTCGTTTCAAACTTTTTGACATAAAATATTTATACTCTTCTCAAATCTGAGAAGATTTTTTCAATGTGTAGAAGGAACCATGTTGTATATATAGAGTGAGATATTCTCATGGTGATTGTTATTATGGCTTAGAGCTTATATATCTACTGTAAATCTTCTTTCACGTTTTTTCTTGATGCAACTATATATTCATAATAATGTTCTGAAAGTGAATGTTCACTAGAATTCTTTGGGGGTGTGCAGACATCAAATGCTAGGGTTATGACACATTCTTATACCTGAAAACAACTGCCGTACCTCTTTGATGCATCAAATTCTTCGTATCAGTGTGATAATTATTATCATCTGCCACAAATCTGGCATAGAAATTATTTACCGTTGCATCTAGTAATAAGAAACTTTTTATACAGGATCCGCAGCCCACAAAAACACGGAAACGTTTGGGCCATGGTTAACGGCAGGTCGTATTTCGAAAGAAAAAGTACAGTTTATTACGGTAAAATTCACTTTCGATGGGTGTTTACAAGAAGATTCGGGATTGTGTAATAATATCAGATAGGTAGGGTAAACCCATTTCCTGAATCCATCCGAGGGTTTATTGATTCAGTTCTCGTTTTCATTTTCACGCACAACAGCTTTTCGATACAGGTTTCATTCATTAGGTTGGTTCTCAGATTTTGGTGGTTAATAAAACATTTAAAATTATGGTGGTGAAAATGTGCTTCCACCATATTCATATTTATATATACACATCAGGTTGGTTTTGCTTAGATACAAAATGAATATTTTCATCTTTATGAATGCGATTCAGCTTCAATCTGAAAATCCATTAAGTGGGTACAAAAACTTCAAAAAATAGCAAGAAAACCATCAAGTCGAAATGGAGTGAGAAGTGTGATATTTGGTGAAACTCAATAATTATCGCGGGCAAAGATTTTTATTCTGATGTGAATTTCGAAAGACCTCTTTAGAATTCGATTTTTTTGTTTTTTTATTATTGTTGTGTGTTCAATAGATATGATTCAATGTTTGTCGTGGCATATAGCCAGGAAAGTAGTTGTTTTCTGTTGAATGAGCCGAGAAATAATTGATATTTTCATCACATAGAGAATGCGAATCCTCAATGTATTTCTTTATATATATATAACCATTTTTTCACGTTCATAATTCATCTGAGAATACTCCTTTTCAACACTGTGTATAGGTTAATCAAGAAAGTGGTCTTTTCCCAGATGTTTTTGGATTTTCTCTCCTCGATTCTATAAAATTAAAATATGAATATTATTTCCATGTATGTGTGATGATCAGTTGGTTTGCATCAAAATGCTTTCAAAAATTCAACTATAAGAAGAATTTTGTTGAAATCATATCAATTCTGAAGTTTTTTACATTTACTATGAATTTCCATCAACTAACGGGCGAGTCAATTGAAAAAAAAGAGGAGAGAAAATCTCGTGAAGTAGGAAACAGGAACGAAATTTTCTCAGATAATGAGGTAAGCATTCTTTTATAATTACGGTCTACATCAGTCATACTCATTTTCAAACACAATATTTTTCAATCATGTAATTCTTTTTCATTGTCACAATATAAAACAACTGTAGTTCAAGGCAGGGTGTCACTTTTTTCACAAAAATCAAGGCCTGTAACGTAACTTTCTTGACGTGAAATTCAAAAAATCATATTGAATGACAAATTTGTATTCCCACTAAATCATTGGCTCCCTCATAATATGTAAAGAATTTCAGTTTGTATCATTGATTTCTGGCTGAATCAAGTTAATTTTTCTCATTCTCAATATCTGATCAACCTAGAAAATTCAACTGTGGTGAGTGTGGACACTGTCTATAAATGAAAAGAATATGATTTTTTTGTCAGTTGTGGTGGTAACTGCAGAAATATGTTGTACCACTTTTGTTTTCATGAAATTGGTGCATTCACTTTGTTTGTAAAATGGAAACTATTCCTATTTTATGTAATATAATTTCTCCAGTTTCCATTTTGGGACTGTGATATTATCTCGTATTCAGAATGAATGAGTTGAATATAATTATTAATGGAATAATTTATCCTAGATTATTCATTATCCATTATCGAGTTATGATTCGCAACAGAATATCTCTTTTATTGCATGTCGATCGCCAAACACCAACGAGCGATAATCAAATTTGCCTCCGCATATAAACTCGAATTAAATATTTTCCGAGATACAAAAGTGATTAGCGGACGAGGTGGGGTGGTCTAGCAATCGCATCGGTGAAGAGAAGGGATAAGGGAGCCAGTGTAGGGCCTATCGAAACGGCGCATACATTCATCTAGGACCAAGGGTCTATCGTGGGAAACGCACTTTTCTGGTCGTCACACCACCGCCACGCGCCAGCCCCGAGTCCTCACAAAAAGGCATTGTCCCTTTTCCAGTAAGGGTTCCAAACAAGAAAATTACCCATTCGTAATTCTTGCGAACGCTAAGGTAAATAAGGATATCGAATTTGCCTCGAGATCAAAGAAGTTTGGGATCGGGATATGAACCCCCGATGCCTCGATTTGGCCTACCTAGAACGTGTGGCGTCGTGTGCATACGATATTATAAGTTTGCTTTTCTTTTAGTGGATAGGTAGCATAGGTAGCATTTTAATTCGTTTACACATTCATTATTTTTCTTTTGGATGTATGATAAATTTACATTCATCATACAGGACGTGGAAAAAAATCTGAATTGAGGAAACCTGATCACGAATCTGCGATTGAGGTCTATAAAAATAACAAGTTTCTATCGTTCAAGTTTGAACCCCTTGATTGGGTGAAAGTATTGAATATTCTCAGATATATTTATGAACACAAAAAAAAGATATATATATATATATATATATATAAAGAAATACATTTTTTGGGAGTTCCAAGTTCATCAAGATCAGAGTTCATACAAGTATACTTCTCCTATACATTTCAATCTTCATTTCAATACTGAACATATTGGTAAGTTATATTTTTATATCATAATACATCATATTATTGTATTCGATTTGAGAGATACTGTCAATTCTGAATTTTAGAGGATTTTGATTTTTCATGCTCTCTTTTTGGATATTCAATAGATATAATTCAATGTTCGACGTGGCAAATAGCCAGGAAAGTAGTTGTATTCTGTTGAATATTCAGAATGATATTACATATATGCATATCTTCATATTAAGGAGAATGCAAATTCTCTTCTTCAGAAGATTTCGTTTTTTGAATTCTCATCGTGGGTGTTCAATAGATGTAATTCAATATTCGTCGTGGCATATAGCCAGGAAAGTAGTTGTTTTCAGTTGAATAAACCGAGAAAGAATTAATATTATCATCACATGCAGAATACGAATTCTCAAGATTTTTCTTTATATATATATGTATATCATTTTTGTTTGTGTTCATAAATATATCTGATGAGAATAAAATATAGGTGAAGTTCAACTTTACGTGTTATTTTTGACTAAATATACTTCAAGTATAGCGAATATCGTTGATCACAATTATTTTCACCAAATAAATGCCGATTAGTTTAAATTTAAAACTATACAACATGTCTATTTTAAATCTCCAGTATGTTTTATGTTGCACTCTGTAGATTATTTGAACTATTCAAAATTGAAACGTTGCATTCAATTACCTTCTCTAATCAACATAATCAATGTGCTTTCTAACAATTCAAAAATATTCTAATGAAACAGTAAACAGGGGCGTACAATGTTTCCTACGTTATCGAACATATTCACTTGATACATATTTGTACTTGTCTTTATTGGATTTCCAAGCCGCATTTTGCAAGCACGAAATTGGGTAACTCCTCAATTTGAGATATACATCAGAATATCTCTTATATACGAATTTTTAATTCTCTTTGTAAAGGTGGGTAGGAACATTGCATTTCAAAAATCCCCTATCAAATTCAATCTGATGTAATTGATACTCCTCTTCACGCAAATATAGCTGACTATAAGCAAATGCTGCGCAACAGTTCCAGAATTCTCTCTATGATGCCAACCTATATCGATATTTCCAATCATGTGTAGTGTAGTAGAATCAATTAATGAATCAATTATTGTAAAATAAATAAGATAACTACTGTCCCTTTCAGAAGTTCTATGTATTTAAAAAAAAAGTTGTGTATCTACTATACTGATGCAACAAATAGAGTTTATCATGTTACAATTTTTATTATTGTCATTTTATTTAAGACTCTGTGTTCAAGTACACTCAGGAGTCAAAAAAATATAGTATTAGTTTAATTTTTCGAGAGCAGATGCCTGGATTTCAATTTTGATTTTTCATTCGCTGTACCCCATCCTGTCCAAAACAAACCGACGCTGCTGATGGAAGTTCGAATATCCGGGATTAGCATAATTTTGGCCCTCACACAACATCGTCATTTCAGGTAAGTCCTCGCTCGTTCCCGTTCAAACTCGGCATAGCCCGATGAGCCAGTTGGGAAGACGCTGCGCGGTTTGACATGCTGTCAATGCCTCGTGTTTAAAAATACCGAACCCCAAAAGAGAGGAAACGCTCCCTATTATATATGGTGGCTCTACTATTCTCCCTCTAACCTGCCACCAGAATGTCGGGTGATGTCCAGCCAAGGAAAAGGAAAGACAAGAAACGAAGGAAAGGTGAGGATCCATCCAGCATGTATATTTAGACTTGGTCCATACGCCGCATATCTATTTATACGAGATACGGCTTACATAAAGTGTCCCGATTCGATTTTTGTCCGCAGATGATTTTGACCCCGTTCCCGTTCAAGTACATCCTCCCATTTTCGCCAACAATTCTTTGAGTGATGACGTCAATATTCATGTTCACAAGGAGGGTGGCACTGGAGGCAACATCTGCGCCAAATTGGTCTTCTTCTTTTTATTTTCTGCGCTTGTTGTTCTCATCGGACTCATCATCACCGAACATAGAGGACTAACAGATCGTAAGTTGTAGACTAAAGTGCCCTAATATCGGATACTTTTTTTGAACCATAATATTGATTTCAATACGTCATTATATCTACGAAGTTTTTGGATGAAAACAAATAATCGGCCATAGAGAATCATATTATATTGAACCGAAATAATTCATTGCCATATGTCAAAAAATAAAATTCAAATTTTTCGAAAAATCGTCAATTTACGTTGACGAAAAAATGTTCCTAATTCCGGATACACGTGGATTGTAGCATTTTTTTGTCTTACGTAGAGATGATAGTAATATTCTATATAGAGTCAAATAATAAATATTTTGTCCTAATATCTGATATTAAGATAGTGCGACCATCTGATAGTAGGCAAATTGTTTCCTGTTGAAGGTGACGTTTATGGAACAAAGAGAACTATAATGATCCATTATCCACATGTACTTAATTGAAGTATATATATAATAGACTAACTTAAACTATAATGTCAAATTTAATAACTTACCTGAATGTTTGAAAATTAAATTTCCGACTAGCACGTGTAAAAACTCCAAATGTGACAGTTAGGTATAAGTGACCTAGAGCCTTCTATTTTTAATGAGAGACACTAAAATATTATTCGGTGGCTTGGCTTTAGCTCCATGTTAAACTGTATACTAGTTTCTTAGTAATCAGATTACCAATTTCTTCAAAACAGATCTATTCGATATCAAGCAACTATCCGATATTAGGACACTTTACCTTATCCATCGTGGAAATTACTCTTTACTTCAATAAGTTTTTTTTAGTCGACTCTGCCGATACAGAATCAAGATTCTCCCATATCTTCGAAGGCTTGGTAGATTCTGGTAGAGATGCACACGATCATGAAGACCCTGGCATAGAAGAAGCCCTGGATACCCATGATGACCACGAAGAAAATGAAGAAGAATTGAACGTATCCGAACCTGAAGATGAAGAAGAGACACTCAGTGAAGAAAATGATAAAAGTGAAGGAGATGACCACAGCGAAGAAAACTCTATGGAAGAAGAAGATATTCAAGCAGATGAGCTAGAAGAAGAGGACGATAGTGCTGTATCTGAGGAACAGGAAGAGGATGATCAGGAAGGTGAAGATATTCCAAATGACGAGGAAGACGATGACGTTCAAGCTGAAGATGAAGAGATACTCGAAGACGACGATGAAGAAATTGCAGATACTGTTGAGGAGTCTGACGAGAACTATCAGGGTGGGGTGAATTCGGAGGAGGTTGATGAAGACAAGAATGAGGAGGGGTCAAAAGGTTCAGATGAAGCTGAGGGTGATGGCTCTGAAGAACAAGAGGACGATGATGGAGGTGAATACAATAAAGATGAAAGTGAAGAAAACGATTCTCAAGCTTCGGAGAATGATAATGATGAAGCTGAAGACAATGATAATGAAGCTCATGAGAATGGAGAAGATGGTTCGGATGAAGAGGATAACGTAAAGCTTATTAAGAGGAAGAGGGACATAAATGTCGAGAACGATGATGAAGAACCAGCTGCTTTTTCTGAAACTCGCGAAGAACACGAAGTCAATCATCTGAGTGGAGAAAAGGTTGGTTCTGAAAGTTGTATATTGATTGATTGTTCCCATATAAGTATTTTTTTGTGAAACAGGTAGTGGGGGAGATTGTTGAAAAGACAGAGGCGGAAGCTGAAAGGGAACAAAGTGAACAAGATGAACATATCCAGGAAAGCTCAGGTCGTAAGTACTTTCGATTACTAATTGATTCAGCCATTTTCATTCTTTCCTGACAATGTAGAATGTGAGCAGAAACTCACAATGTCGAAGTTTCCTTTATTGTCATTCAATATTGCCAAATATAGGGAGTTTCAGGAAGTCTTTACATTTTTCTTTACCTTGAATTATCCAACATTCATCAGTATATTCAGTTCCTAGATTATTTTGGATTCCATGCATTCAGTACTTATAAATAGAATGTTCCTAATCGTCAAATATTTTGCTACTTTGAAATGCTCGTTTTCTATGATTTATTCGTGAATATGTTTTTTGAAAAACTAGACTCGTGAGTTTTCGCTCAAGAAATATCCATTGTCATCAAAATGTAGCTTGGTACTCGGCTTGGTATTTTTCTAGATAGGTACCTTATCTGAATGTTCGAAATGTTGTTTGAAGAATTTGGCATTAATATTTTTTTCATTTTGTATTTGGTATGGAATTACTTGTACTATGTAAATCAGGAAATGCAAAATAATCTCACTATATTCTATGATATTTTGTAGTGGCTGTGAAACTGAGTGTCGGGGTTGCCATATTGGTGGTTGCATACCTTGTGTTGGTTAGGAAATGGAGAAACGGTCAGTAAGAATGTGCATGCATGTATATAAAAAAGTCGAAGTATTATTTAATTTGATGTTCGCCTCCGCTTCCAATCTTATGAGCCACTAACACAATTTTGCATTTCCTGGTATCCTTACTGTTTTTTTCGTCAATAATTTCAGTAATCCTTAGCTTCAGCTATTTTATAATCATTTATATATGTAATCGTCATGAAATAATAGGATACAAATGAAATGTAAAAATTTGTTTGAACTGTACATTTTTATTTTGATATGCTTTCTAAATTTTGTGATACGTAGATGTAAAAATATTTGCACACCTGAAGTTTAGACACAAAAATTATTTTTGAAGCAGCTGACGATAGCAAACCGTCTTTATCGAATGAACAAATGGAAACAGTCCCGGACTTATCCAGAAGAAACACAATAGTCCCACCTCCTAGCTACCAAGAAATCGAACCAGACCTTGAAAACGCTGAAGAAGGTAGATATTCTTGATAGCTTGAGTTTTCGATCAACTTTTTGACAATCCAACGTCCAATGAATATTTCGGAAAATTCAAAATAAAGCGCGATGTTTTTTCTTGCATTTTTGAATTTTTCGGAAAGATATTGAAGTTTTTGGAACTGGTGGCTAAGTTTGTCGAAGAAAGAAATTTTTGTACTAGATTATTCGGAAGAAGAATTGAGCGAAGAGGACGAACCAGTTGAAGCGAAATCATTGAAAGCGAAATATCAAGAACTCCGAGCGACATATTCGCGATCTCTGACTCCCGAAAGTGATCCGGATCGTGAAAAATCTCCCAAACCCCACGAATACGAAGACGAAGAAAATGTAGATGAGGAAGAAGAAGAAATTAGCGAAGAAGAAGATGATGATGATTATGAGAATGAAGAAGAGTATGACGAGGATGATGATGAAGAGTTACTGACGAGATTGGAAGCCAAATATGGAAAACTACTTGGAGTTGGTGGAAATCTGGTGGATAAAAGTAATTGAATCATTATCCAAGTAGCACAAGCAGCAATATTTTCAGTCACATGTAATACAGAATGGAAAGCTCAGGCTTTTGATGTCAAGACTGAAAAATAAAAAAGACAATACTATCAAGTTTTATTTTTTATTTGACTGAGTGTTCTTTTGTGCTACTTGGAAATTCCTGTACCAAGAAAAAATTGTGTCTTCGAACATTTCGCATTCAAATCGTTTACCTTAACTGGAAAAATATCAATCTGCAAATGGTGTTAATCTCATTATTAATACAAGAAGTTATGTCCACGATTATAGGAAACGATTCTCCACAAGATATGGTTGAAGATTCTGATTCTGACAGACAATCTGATGATGAAGAATACAAAAACATGAATATTACCAACAAAAATGACTTCCAGATCAGAAATGAACTTGATGAGGCCCAAAAGTCTGTCAGACATGTAAGTTTCATCCTCTCCAGGTTCCTATTCGATCATTGTTAATCTTTCTTTCTTTGGTAGGACTAAATGTTGAAAAAGCTGTTCCCTACACTTCCATTTATTGGTTCTAAACTGTATCCTAAGCTGTTTTGTTGGCCTTTTTTGTTTTGTTTGCTCTTGGGATTGTTTTTAATATTTTGGTACAATGATTTCGTTTGTCTATAAATAAAGCTTACTCGATTTTTATCAAGGGAACCCGCACATTTCTTGATAAAAACCGATAATACGTTTCATGCTAACAAATACCGTGTGTGTCTTAACCTTGATGAGTGGTTTTTTGTTTCGATTTTGATATAACCAGAACCCGTCCTCTGCTGTGAAGCTTTTTGATGCTATTTTGCGAAAAAACCCATCCTCTCCCAGAAGTTTGTATGGAAAGGCCATCTCGTTGGATGCTCTGGCTGATGAGAAACAGAGCAACGTGATTCTGGAAAAGGCTCTGGCAATTTATATCGAGCTGCTCCAGAGAGAAGATGTCTTACCTGTTCTCTATAAAATGGTCGCCGATAGATGCATAAACCGTACGAGATTCATGGGTATGAAAATTAATGAAATTTTCTTCCCAATGTCAACGACTCTGAGTTTGGTCTTCATCTTTTGACTTTTATAATTTTTTAGGGCAATATAAAAAATTAGTTATGGTGCATCAGCTTGTTATTAAAAGATTTCCTGGTGATCCAAAGCATAAAAATGACCTAGCTGTGACGTATTTGACTATAAACAGGTTTGTTTGTTTGTTTTTGAAATATTTACTAGGTGTTCTTGAGAAAGTGGTGCGAATTTTCAGGATGACAAAAAATATCTATGAATCTTTGTCCGTGCGAAGCATATACATGGTGTTGATTAAGTATATGTGGTCAAACTCCAAGGGGTATAATATTAAGTGGAAGTTCATCCAAACAAAGGTCTAGAAATGCATTGTTATCAAGGGAAATTCTTCTCAAAAAACGGTTTTTTCTAAATTTAATCATGGGTTCTGCAACAAAACTAATACTGCCAAATTTGCAAAAAATCCATCGACCCCTTGTATCTCAAAAAACATGCATTACCGGCCCTATGTTCAATGAACTTTTCGTCTTAGGCTCACCCAAAATATCAACCCTCAAGGTTTGGCCATATACTTAATTAACACCCTGTATAGCATATACAGGGTGAGTCACTTTTTTAGCAGGACTTCATCAGCTCAAAGAACACATATTTCCAAGATTAATGCATGAGAGTTTCGCGGAGTTTCGTTTCCGATATACAGGGTGTCAAAGTTTGAATTTTCTTGGTGTTTTTTAAGATTTCTTCTACAACTCTCAAAATAATGATATCACACTCCAAAAACTCATCATTCATGGCTATTAAGATTGTTTTTTGATTATCCACAGGGTGGTACACTTTTGGGGACTGCACCCAATTTGACATACTCTTGAACTTTTGAGCTTGTTGCCTCTGCTTTCAATTAGATATCAATTTAGATTTTCTCTTTCATTTGGATACCTTTTGCTTTTATTCATGTTTTCTGTAAGCTCGAGATGATTTCTAAAAACAAGTTAACTGGTAAATTCAATTTTTCGAACACAGGCTTCCTGACATTTCTTAATAATGGACTAGAAAACTGAAAATGATCGAAAGTTTTCATAAGGTTTGTTAAAAAATATCTTTTTCAAGCTGTTGAAGTCTTGCTGAAAAAATCTGACTTAGGTATACCCTGTATATATACCCTGAAAGTTTGTCATCCCATCTTAAAAACATCCTATACATAGAGCATCGAGTCAACTGAATTAACACCAAAAAATTTAAGATCATCATTGTGTTTACTTGAGATATATTGGATATTTCATGAACACCTAACTGATCGAATTCATGATTATTTTTTAGGATAGAAGATGCGCGTTCTGTCTTCAAAGACGTTTTGAAACGATGGCCCAGTGACGGTTATGCACTTGTCCACTATGGTTTCATCCTGAAAACCGCCGATAACAAATTAGAAGAAGCCGTGCATTATTTTAGAAAGGGATTGAAGACTCGAGATGAAGGTGTCATAGATGGAAGGTTCTATTTCCATTTGGGAGACGCCCTCACAAGATTAGGAAGAACTGATGAAGCAAACAAGGTAAACGATTAACGATTTGTGAAACCATAAATCTATGATAAAACGTTGATTGGAAGTACAGGGTGTTGCTAAAATTCCCAGGCTTGTTTGCTGGATTTTACCCCTACTGAGTGTTATATGAGTATATTCGGGGTTCGATACGATGGATTCTAAGACGAGAGTTAATAAAAACATAGGTCCGTAAATGCTTTGTTTTCAGGATACAGGGTATCAACATTTTTGAAGTAGTCGTCAATATCTTTTTGGCAGTATTCTATTCAGGATTGCACCAGGCCAATTAAGCACTTACTAGAGTTGCATCTTGGCCAATATTTTTTACCAAAATATGTACGCCACTGTTTTTTTTTGCAATATTTGTATTTTTGTCGCATAAAGCAACTGAAACTTAATTTTTAGATTGCCAGTATTTTTCTCGTATCTGGCTTCATTTTTGAGAAAGAAAAAACATAAAAATAACTTTGTTTTTTATGAACCTGGGACAACATAACAAAAGCATCCTTTGATAAAAATGGTAAAAAATGTTTTTTTTTGCTCGTATTCTTTTGATGAAAAATTTTTACACTAGAATAGACTGATGAAAGAAATAACAGATACATATGTACGTCCTAGTTTTTGATGGTTTGGTTACCCGAGTTCAATAGTGTAACAACTCGAAAAATAACCATTTTGAGTTGTATACGCTATCTCGTTCATCATTTTGTTAGCTTTCAAGTGCTATACTGTAACAGCTAAAAGTTTCAGTACTGGCCAAGAGATGGAAGAAAACTTCATTTTAATATAATTCCATACTGATGTAATAACTCGATACAAGAATCAATACTTGTTATAGTCAGCGTACATCTGTGGAAGATTTTCAGTGATTCAGAGTTGTTTCATTGCATAGCTCAAAATAGTCAATTTCAAGACTCAAAACAAACTTATATTACTATGTTGTATCATTGTTTTTGTAGTGATTGTAGTTATTGAACTTACTCCTCTAATAATAATGATGATTGTTGATTACAGAGCTTCATATTATCAAATTATATAACTTAGATCAATAGTGTCCGAATAAAATAATCATTTACCTAAAATTTTTTTTTTAATTTGTTGATTTTAGGAAGTGAATAGAAAACTACTATGGCAGGGTTATCATTTTATATTATTGGGATATAATCTACAAATTTTGATTCAAATCATCATGACTTGAATTTTCAATTGCGATTTTCTCGAATCTCCGATGTTACACTACTGAACTTGGGTATCGATATGGATTCTAGCACTAGCTTCCACTTGGTTCAATTTGACTGATGAATGATCAAAATGAAGATGAAGGTATCTGACCTCGAATATTTTATTAGCACACTCTGAGGTGTATATTTTCGTCCATATTTGTACACAAACTCGATCATTCACAAGGTTTACGAGGAGGGAGCAGAAAACAAAGTGTTCCTATCCAAACACCAACGATCCCTGTACAACGTCCCCCGTTTAACCGGCCGACCATGGTGGCCGAAAGAACACCTCCAAAACGTCCAATCGCTCAATCTCCTCGAACAACATTGGAAGGAAATCAGCCAAGAAGCGCTGGCCGTCCTCAACGAAGAAGGCCTCTTCCGTGACGAGGCCGAGAACCTGAAAGACACCGGCGACTGGAAGCAGCTGGAGCTCTTCGCCAGAGGCCGGAGGAACGCGAAGAACTGCCGGAAATGCCCGATCACTTGCGCGATCGTCGATCGGATACCCGAGGCGCGGTCGTGCAGGAGAGGCCAGACGAAGTTCAGCGTGATGCATCCGGGCACGCACGTGTGGCCCCACTGTGGCCCGACGAATTGCAGGCTGAGGGCGCATTTGGGGTTGCGGGTGCCGCCAGGGACGTTCATCAGGGTGGCTGATCGGACCAGGTGAGGTTTTTCGATCTTTGCATGGGGCCTAATAGGCGAGTGGACGATTTTTTTTTATTTCTCAAATAGAATCATCACTCAGATACCTTTCAATATCATATTTTGGTAAAACTTGGATATGTTGGTTGCTCCATGTTGCTCGAAAAAAAAAATTGAAAAAAAAATGTTTCGATTTTTTCTGAGGTCTTCTTCAATAGCTAGAAGCTAATTACTCACTTACAAGTACGCACTGATGATGACTGTTAGTCGAATGCCCTAAAATACATTCATTTTTATTCAGTTCAACATGGTGATTCAACGTTTATAACCATTTAGCCTTCAGTATGTTGCATTCATCATCAATTGTGTACTTATCAATTTCTTGCAGTGATCATCCTGTTAATTTTCTTTGATATTTCAGGAGTTGGAAGGAAGGGGCGTTGATCGTTTTCGACGACAGTTTCGAGCACGAAGTTTGGCATAACGGGACCGGCATCAGATTAGTCCTGATTGTTGATATCTGGCATCCAGAACTAACCCCATACGAAAAAAAGAGCCTCTCGGCTATTTGATGTTTTGTGATTGTATTTTGATATACGTACGTATTTACTTTATAATACTTGAAGTGGAGTTGTGCTGTGTAAATAAAATTTAAGTATTCGTTCGTTATGATAAAGAAATTCTTCACATTTTGATGAAATTCTTTATGTTTCCAAATATTCCATACAAATGCTCCCAACATTCCTAGCATTCCAACGAAATCATTCACAATCCCTAAACATTTTTGTGAACACTTTCATGCTTAATAATAATGGGCTCCAATAATAATTGTTTTCGAATTATAAAATGAATTTTCCAGTTGTTCAGAAGATGATGAAATAATATTTTACTACCCGAACTAATATTTATTCCAACCACCCGCTGTTTCTATAATGTAATTCTCATTGTGGTACGAGATAGTCAGGTGTATCTCTGAATATTTCTAAAATTTGAGGTTGATCTTAGATCATACGTTGATTCACAGCGCTAGATATATATATAAATATTTTCTGCTTCATATAGTGAAGCTGACTGGAAACAAACTGACCAAGCATCTATATAGATGAAGAACCTTTTGTAGGACAGGAAGTAAAAATTATAATTCAATTTTCATCTCATTCATCAGTCTCTTTCGTTTTATGATATTTTTATAATTTCATACATATATATGTATATAATTTCATGCATTTACTATCATTAGAAATCTTAAATTTTTGTTGCAAATTCAAAGGACCACGCACACATTATATGGGAAAATGTCTTTCGGTGAAAAAAAGCAATGATTGCAAAAATTCATGGGAATTGGAAAAATTCCTGAAAATGTCAAAAATTCCTGAAAATTGCAAAAATTGCAATTTTCAGGCATTTTTGCGATTTTTGCAAATTTTAGGAAATTACTGAAAATTATAAGAATTGCGAAAATCGCAGAAATTCCTGAAAATTGCAAAAATCGCAAAAATGCCTGAAAATTGCGAAATAGCAAAAATTTCAAAAATTCCTGAAAATTGGAAAAATTTCAAAAATTCCTGAAAATTGTAAAAATGCCTGGAAATTGCAAAAATCGCAAAAATGCCTGAAAATTGCAAAAATTGCGAAAATTCCTGAAAATTACAAAAATTGCAAAAATTCCTGAAAATTGCAAAAATAGCAGAAATTGCAAAAATTCCTGAAAATTGCAATAATTCCTGAAAATTGTAAAAATTGCAAAAATTCCTGAAAATTGCAAAAATTCCTGAAAATTGCAAAAGTTTCAAAAATTCCAGAAAATTGTAAAAATGCCTGAAAATTGCAAAAATCGCAAAAATGCCTGAAAATAGCAAAAATTGCAGAAATTGCAAAAGTGCCTGAAAATTACAAAAATTGCAAAAATTCCTGAAAATTGCAGAAATAGCAAAAATCGCAAAAAATCCTGAAAATTGTAAAAATTGCAAAAATTCCTGAAAATTGCAAAAATTTCTGAAAATTCCTGGAAATTGCAAAAATTCCTAAAAATTCCTGAAAATTGCAAAAATCACAAAAATGCCTGAAAATTGCAAAAATCGCAAAAATTCCTGAAAATTGCAGAAACAGCAAAAATTTCAAAAATTCCTGAAAATGAGAAAAAATTCTGAAAATTGCAAAATCTCCTGAAAATTGCAAAAATCGCAAAAATTCCTGAAAATTGCAAAAATATCAAAAACTCCTGGAAATTGCACAAATTGCAGAAATTTCAAAAATTCCTGAAAATTGCAAAAATTCCTGAAAATTGCAAGAATTCCTGAAAATTGCAAAAATTGCAAAAATTCCTGAAAATTGCAAAAATTGCGAAAATTGCAAAAATTCCTGAAAATTCCTGAAAATTGCAAAAATCGCAGAAAATCCTGAGAATTGCAAAAATCGCAAAAATCGCAAAAATGCCTGAAAATTGCAAAAATTGCAAAAATTCCGGAAAATTGTAAAAATTTCTAAAAATTCCTGAAAATTGCAAAAATTCCTAAAAACTGCAGAAATTTTAAAAATTCCTGAAAAATGCAATAATTGCAAAAATTCCGGAAAATTGTAAAAATTCCTAAGAATTCCTGAAAATTGCAAAAATCGCAAAAATGCCTGAAAATTGCAAAAATCGCAAAAATTCCTGAAAATTGCAGAAACAGCAAAAATTTCAAAAATTCCTGAAAATGAGAAAAAATTCTGAAAATTGCAGAATCTCCTGAAAATTGCAAAAATCGCAAAAATTCTGAAAATTGTAAAAATTGCAAAAATTTCAAAAACTCCTGAAAATTGCACAAATTGCAAAAATTGCAAAAATTCCTGAAAATTGCGAAAATTCCAAAAATCGCTGAAATGCCTGAAAATTGCAAAAATTGCAAAAATTCCTGAAAATTGTAAAAACTGCGAAAATTCCTAAAATTTGCAAAAATCGCAAAAATGCCTGAAAATTGCAAAAATTGCAATTTTCAGGAGTTTTTGAAATTTTTGCAATTTTTACAATTTTCAGAATTTTTGCGATTTTTGCAATTTTCAGGAGATTTTGCAATTTTCAGAATTTTTTCTTATTTTCAGGAATTTTTGAAATTTTTGCTGTTTCTGCAATTTTCAGGAATTTTTGCGATTTTTGCAATTTTCAGGCATTTTTGCGATTTCTGCAATTTTCAGGAATTTTTAGGAATTTTTACAATTTTCAGGAATTTTTGAAATTTTTCCAATTTTCAGGAATTTTTGCAATTTTTGCTATTTCGCAATTTTCAGGCATTTTTGCGATTTTTGCAATTTTCAGGAATTTCTGCGATTTTCGCAATTTTTAAAATTTTCAGGAATTTTTGCGATTTTTGCAATTTTCAGAAATTTTTCCAATTATCAGGAATTTTTGCAATTTTTGCAATTTTCAGGATTTTCTGCAATTTTCGCAATTTTTGCAATTTTCAGGAATTTTTGCAATTTTTGCAATTTTCAGGAATTCTTGCAATTTTCAGGAATTTTTGAAATTTCTGCAATTTGTGCAATTTCCAGGAGTTTTGAAATTTTTGCGATTTTTACAATTTTCAGGAATTTTTGCGATTTTTGCAATTTTCAGGAATTTTTGCGATTTTTGCAATTTTCAGTCATTTCTGCGATTTTTGCAATTTTCAGGCATTTTTGCGATTTTTGCAATTTTCAGTCATTTTTACAATTTTCAGGAATTTTTGAAATTTTTCCAATTTTCAGGAATTTTTGCAATTTTTGCTATTTCGCGAATTTTCAGGCATTTTTGCGATTTTTGCAATTTTCAGGAATTTCTGCGATTTTTGCAATTCTTGCAATTTTCAGGAATTTTTGCAATTTTTGATATCTTTGCAATTTTCAGGAATTTTTGAAATTTCTGCAATTTGTGCAATTTCCAGGAGTTTTTGAAATTTTTGCAATTTTTACAATTTTCAGGAATTTTTGCGATTTTTGCAATTTTCAGTCACTTTTGCGATTTTTGCAATTTTCAGGAATTTTTGCGACTTTTGCAATTTTCAGGCATTTTTGCGATTTTTGCGATTTTTGCAATTTTCAGGATTTTCTGCAATTTTCGCAATTTTTGCAATTTTCAGGAATTTTTGCAATTTTTGCAATTTTCAGGAATTCTTGCAATTTTCAGGAATTTTTGCAATTTTTGATATCTTTGCAATTTTCAGGAATTTTTGAAATTTCTGCAATTTGTGCAATTTCCAGGAGTTTTTGAAATTTTTGCAATTTTTACAATTTTCAGGAATTTTTGCGATTTTTGCAAATTTCAGGAGATTTTGCGATTTTCAGAATTTTTTTTTATTTTCAGGAATTTTTGAAATTTTTGCTGTTTCTGCAATTTTCAGGAATTTTTGCGATTTTTGCAATTTTCAGGCATTTTTGCGAATTTTGCAATTTTCAGGAATTTTTAGGAATTTTTGCAATTTTCAGGAATTTTTGCAATTTTCAGGAATTTTTGCGATTTTTGCTATTTCTGCAATTTTCAGGAATTTTTGCAATTTTTGTAATTTTCAGGCATTTTTGCAATTTCTGCAATTTTTGTTATTTTCAGGCATTTTTGCGATTTTTGCAATTTTCAGGCATTTTTACAATTTTCTGGAATTTTTGAAACTTTTCCAATTTTCAGGAATTTCTGCAATTTTTACAATTTTCAGGAATTATTGCAATTTTCAGGAATTTTTGCAATTTTTGTAATTTTCAGGAATTTTCGCAATTTTTGCAATTTTCAGGCATTTTTGCGATTTTTGCAATTTTCAGGCATTTTTACAATTTTCAGGAATTTTTGAAATTTTTCCAATTTTCAGGAATTTTTAAAATTTTTGCTATTTCGCAATTTTCAGGCATTTTTGCGATTTTTGCAATTTTCAGGAATTTCTGCGATTTTCGCAATTTTTATAATTTTCAGTAATTTTTGCGATTTTTGCAATTTTCAGAAATATTTCCAATTTTCAGGAATTTTTGCAATTTTTGCAATTTTCAGGAATTTTTACAATTTCCCGGAATTTTTGCAATTTTTGCATTTTTCAGGAATTTTTAAAATTTTCAGGAATTTTTGAAATTTTTACAATTTTCAGGAATTTTTCTAATTTTCATGAATTTTTGCAATTCCCAGGAATTTTTGCAATCTTCAGGAATTTTTGCAATTTTTGCAATTTTCAGAAATTTTTGCAATTTTTGCAATTTTCAGGCATTTTTGCGAATTTTGCAATTTTCAGGATTTTCTGCGATTTTTGCAATTTTTAGGAATTTTCAGGAATTTTTGCAATTTTTGCAATTTTTAGAATTTTCAGGAAGTTTTGCAATTTTCAGGAATTTCTGCAATTTTCAGGAATTCTTGCAATTATCAGGAATTTTTTAAATTTTTGTAATTTTCAGGAATTTTTAGGAATTTTTACAATTTTCAGGAATTTTTGCAATTTTTGCAATTTTCAGGAATTTTTGCAATTCTTGTAATTTTCAGGAATTTTTGCAATTTTCAGGCATTTTTGCGATTTTTGCAATTTTCAGGCATTTTTACAATTTTCAGGAATTTTTGAAATTTTTCCAATTTTCAGGAATTTTTGCAATTTTTTGCTATTTCGCAATTTTAAGGCATTTTTACGATTTTTGCAATTTTCAGGAATTTCTGCGATTTTCGCAATTTTTAAAATTTTCAGGAATTTTTGCGATTTTTGCAATTTTCAGAAATTTTTCCAATTTTCAGGAATTTTTGCAATTTTCAGGAATTTTTACAATTTTCCGGAATTTTTGCATTTTTCAGGAATTTTTAAAATTTTCAGGAATTTTTGAAATTTTCTGAATTTTCTAGAATTTTTCCAATTTTCATGAATTTTTGCAATTTTCATGAATTTTTGCAATTTTCATGAATTTTTGCAATCTTCAGGAATTGTTGCAATTTCTGCAATTTTCAGGAATTTTAGCAATTTTTGCAAATTTTCAGGCATTTTTGCGACTTGCAATTTTCAGGCATTTTTGCGATTTTTGCGATTTTTGCAATTTTCAGGATTTTCTGCGATTTTCGCAATTTTCAGGAATTTTTGCAATTTTTGCAATTTTACAATTTCCAGGAATTTCTGCAATTTTTGCGATTTTTGCAATTTTCAGAAATTTTTGAAATTTTTGTAATTTTCAGGAAATTTTGCAATTTTTGCAATTTTTGCAATTTTCAGGCATTTTTGCGATTTTTGCAATTTTCAGGCATTTTTACATTTTTCAGGAATTTTTGAAATTTTTACAATTTTCAGGAATTTTTGCGATTTCCAGGAATTTTTGCAATTTTTGCGATTTTCAGGAATTCTTGCAATTTTCAGGAATTTTTGAATTCCTGAAAATTGCAAAAATTCCTGAAAATTGCAAGAATTCCTGAAAATTGCAAAAATTCCTGGAAATCGCAAAAATTCCTGAAAATTGGAAAAATTTCAAAAATTCCTGAAAATTGTAAATATGCCTGAAAATTGCAAAAATCGCAAAAATGCCTGAAAATTGCAAAAATTGCAAAAATTGCAAAAATTCCTGAAAATTACAAAAATTTCAAAAATTCCTGAAAATTGCAAAAATTGCAAAAATTCCTGAAAATTGCAAAAATTCCTGAAAATTGCAAAAATTCCTGAAAATTGTGAAAATGCCTGAAAATTGCAAAAATCGCAAAAATGCATGAAAGTTGCAAAAATTGCAAAAATTTGCAAAATTGCAAAAATTCCTGAAAACTACAAAAATTGCAAAAATTCCTGAAAATTGCAGAATAGCAAAAATCGCAAAAATTCCTGAAAATTGGAAAAATTTCAAAAATTCCTGAAAATTGTAAAAATGCCTGAAAATTGCAAAAATCGCAAAAATGCCTGAAAATTGCAAAAATTGCAAAAATTCCTGAAAATTACAAAAATTGCAAAAATTCCTGAAAATTGCAAAAATAGCAAAAATTGCAAAAATTCCTGAAAATTGCAAAAATTACAAAAACTCCTGAAAATTGCAAGAATTCCTGAAAATTGCAAAAATTGCAAAAATTCCTGAAAATTGCAAAAATTCCTGAAAATTGCAAAAATTGCAAATATTCCTGAAAATTGTAAAAATGCCTGAAAATTGCAAAAATCGCAAAAATGCATGAAAATTGCAAAAATTCCCGAAAATTGCAGAAATAGCAAAAATCGCAAAAATTCCTGAAAATTGCAAAATTGCAAAAATTCCGGAAAATTGTGACAATTTCTCAAAATTCCTGAAAATTGCAAAAATGCCTGAAAATTGCAATAATCGCAAAAATTCCTGAAAATTGCAAAAATGCCTGAAAATTGCAAAAATCGCAAAAATTCCTGAAAATTGCAAAAATTCCAGTAAATTACAAAAATTCCTGAAAATTGCAGAAATAGCAAAAATCGCAAAAATTCCTGAAAATTGCAAAAATTTCTCAAAATTCCTGAAAATTGCAAAAATGCCTGAAAATGCCTGAAAATTGCAATAATCGCAAAAATTCCTGAAAATTGCAAAAATGCCTGAAAATTGCAAAAATTGCAAAAATTCCTGAAAATTGCAGAAATTGCAGAAATAGCAAAAATTGGAAATATTCCTGAAATTTTTTTTGAAAATTGCAAAAAATCTTGAAAAATGCAAAAATCGAAAAAATTCCTGAAAATTGTAAAAATTGCATAAATCGCAAAAATTCCTGAAAATTGTAAAAATTGCAAAAATTGCAAAAATTCTTGAAAATTCCTAAAAATTGCAAAAATTGCAAAAAATCCTGAAAAGTCCTTGTAGCCATCTTAACCTTCTCCCTAGTTTTTTTGATAGCCTTTTCATGAACACAACAGAATATTTTCAAAGCATTTTGCGCACATTTAATCGCTGAAATTAGATATCGCATATCATCACGGATCATGGAGGATAATATGGCATATATATATGGCCATTAACTCAATTAGAATGAATCATGATGAAAATAGACTGGTATAACCACTTGTCAATTGTTTCTTTCCAAAACGTGTAGACCGCAAAACACCGTAGCAAGGCCGCACCGGATTGACTGTAGATGGCGTAGGGAACATCGTGCCACATATACTTCACAGATATAATGAAAATTTCACGTCTTCTTCTTCAAATCAATCACTTTTTCTCAATGTTTTTAAATTACGAATTAATTTAATATACGTAAATGTAAACAACAAAACAATACAACCATTGTGTAGCAAGATCACCATACATATATCCACCTTTGAATGAAAATAAATAAATTCGAGGTTATAAAAAATATGATGAATATAGTTGAAGTGAGCAGTCGATAATATATAAAATATCCTGATATTTATAATTCACATGAATAACTGAGTTTAATTAATTGTGTGTGAAATGGTGGTTATTGAAAAAATGTCAAGAACCCTGATGAAATTAGAAATTGTATGTATATTATTGAATATCTGGAATCTGGAATAAACATCTCAAGGCATGCTATGTTATGTACAGAAATGACATCCACATAATTATGTTAACATTCTTTTTATTTATTTGATACCTCTCAGTAGGCAAACAAAGAAAGAACAAAAACAGAAGAGCAAAAACAATAGGTACCTAGGTACTTCCAATATCATTTGAATTGAAGACCTCTTTGCATATAGGAAGTGCATATATTCTCAAGAAAACATCCTCATGCCAAAACATCTCAGGAATGTTTATGGTCGCTGGGATGAGTAATCAGCGACGGATTTTTTTGAAAAGTGAATTAGCACGTGATGACAGTAGTGGTGGCACCTACCGATAAGTTTATGGATTCATGGAATACGAAGAACATTCTAGCCCCCACTAAGTCAAGAATGGTTCACAGTTTGTCTAGCCACTGATAGATGGCGCTAGCTTGTCAAATTTGCAGGAAACTTGCACAGAGTGATTTTAGTTTGTCTCTGTGAATTATATGAGATAAGGAGAAAGATAATCATACAGTGCACAATGAAAAGACCTAACCTCATTTCTTGACGTGTTCTCAGCACAGGGAAAAAAATACTTTCAATCTTCTTCAAAGACCTCTTTGTATATTTCGCATAGACGTTTCTAGGCAGAATTTTTTTGCGGTAGAGAAACTCAAAAATCAAGTGAAAAGTGCCCTAGCGTGTGGTAACAGTGGTGGTGGCACCTACCGATAAAATTAGGAATTCAAAGAATACGAACAGAGATCATTCACCCACTACGAAGAACATTTCATCCTCCACTAACTTGGGTATGGTTTACAGTTTGTCTACCCACTGATAGATGGTGCTAGCTTATCAAATTTGCAGAGAACTTGTACAATGCACAGCGTAATCTACACTCCAAACAGTACCAACTACACAGTGACAGTTCACTGACAGTCATAGAAAAAAATCAAGTGCAGCAGGTACGGCAACCACAAACGAACAGGCCTGTAGTGAACGTCGGCGAAGACCTAACCTCATTTCTTGACTTTTCGTCACTTCTTGTTGACGACTTTGACATAATTACATTGTATGTTTTGTAGGTGATCAATTATTAATATTTATTAATAAATAGTTTCTACAGTACGTTGTACATTGCGAGAGTTATCGTTATCGAGAACTAGAGCTCATCAGGAAAAGGAAGTGAAAGGAAAAGGAACAATAAATACCCATTGTCTTGTAATGCCAGATACAAAAATTGTGCTATGAGGTATGTTGTGATAAACAGTTTAGATGTGTCACACATTCATCAGATAACATTTTTATTATTGGTTCTAGTTGAATGCTAAAGGATAATGAACATATTGAGTAAATAGTCTCTTAGCATTGTGGTGAGTTACTGCCTGATTTGTTAGTTCCTGTTATTCAGTATCACACTTGCAGGTGCCAAGATGTTCAGTAATGAAAATTATGCCAACTTCACATGGAGTATAGACAATGACACTTGTTTAATGAGTAAAAGAGCTAATAAAACTGCGATCAGTAATGTTTATGAAGGCATTCCAGAGACAATTATCCTGAATGTTGTATCCTGGCTGCTGCTCATCCTTTTATTTGCCATACTGAGAAATCGAGCTTGGGATTATGGAAGACTAGCACTTGTCCACACTGAAAAATGGACACAGCTATTTTACAAGAACACAGATGATGCTGTAGCTGTGGAGGAGGCCAGCCATGAAGTATCACTCATGCCTGATACTGGCTGCCTGTGGTTTCCATCAATATTCAAGATAACCAGAAGCAGAATTTTTGCCAGATGTGGTCCAGATGCATCACATTACTTATCCTTTCAGAGGCAGCTGTTGCTCTTGATGGCAGTCATCACAGCCTTTTCAGTATGTGTCATTTTGCCCATCAATTTCCAAGGTGTTTTACTTGGTGATAGAACTACTTTTGGCCACACCACTATTGGCAACCTCAACTCTGATTCAAAGTGGCTATGGGTGCATATCACTGGCTCCATACTTGTTGTGCCTGCAATGATTTTCATCATGAGGAAGTGCTCAGGGAGGAATCCCAGTACCACTGTTCTATCTTCCAAAACTGTCATGGTCACTAATATATCAAAAATGCACAGAAACACAGAAGACATCAAAAACTACTTCATTGTACGCTATCCAGGAATTGAAATTAGAGATGTGAAAATAGCCCACAGAGTGAAAACTCTAACTCTCCTAGAACAGCTTAGGGGAAAAGCACATGAAGCTAGATCATACTGTTTGAGCAATGTGCAAAGAAACCTGCAAATACAGCCCCATGGGTGTATAGCATGTTGTCCATGCAATACTGTAGATGCTTTGGAATATTACACCAGAGAGGAAGAGCACCTGAATCAGTTGGTGACTTCAGAAAGAACAAAAGCCCTACAAAGTCCTCTTGGCATAGCCTTTGTTACTTTGGGATCTGAAGAAATGGCTCAACATGTCCTGAGATCCTTTGAAGGAGGGTCCCACAGGAACTGGGTTATATTCAAAGCTCCATCTCCTTCAGACATTAACTGGGAGAACCTGGAAATTTCCTACAGGAACTGGTATTCAAAAGCAATAATCATCAATGTTTTATTATTCATCATTCTGTTCTTCCTCACCACCCCAGTTATAGTAGTGAACTTTTTCAATAACCTAACTGAGAACTTCACCTCCAAAGAGGTCAATTCTATCAGTAAGACAAGCCCTCTGATTTCAGAATTCCTACCAACCCTCCTCTTGTTGTCCATGTCTGCTGTTATGCCTGTAATAGTGGCTTACTCAGATGAATGGATGTCACACTGGACAAAGTCCAAGCAAAATCATGCCACCATGTACAAAACATTTTTCTTCTTGCTTTTCATGGTTCTAATCTTACCTTCTCTTGGTTTGACTAGTGCCCAAGCTTTTGTGGAATGGTCTTTTCAGTCCAAAAACATAACCCTGCGCTGGGAGTGTATTTTTCTGGCTGACAAAGGTGCGTTTTTCGTCAACTATGTGATTACATCAGCCTTAATCGGGACGGCGTTGGAACTTTTGCGTTTTCCCGAGTTGGCAATGTATGCCTGGAGATTGCTGCACATCAAATCTGAAGCTGAGAAAACTACCATTCGCAAGGAAATTCTCTCTGTATTTCCTTTTGGCATTCATTATGCTTGGACTTTACTCATTTTCACTGTTAGTACGGTTTACAGTTTGACTTGTCCTCTAATCACTCCATTCGGCCTTCTGTACTTGAGTTTGAAACATTTAGTGGACAAGTACAATATCTACTATGTTTATCGTCCCATAACCATGTCTGGTGAGGGTCAAGAAATCCACTCTGATGCTGTCAAGATGGTGAGAGTGGCTATCCTACTCCTCCAGTTGATCACAGCTCTGTTTTTCTTTCTGAGAGCATACTTGAATGCTACAACTTGTGTTGCTTTCCTAGGTTTTGCATTGACCAGTATGTTCTTCTTCTTGGTTGGCCCTTTTCCATCTTGCAAACCAGTTGATAGGAGTTCGTCAACCTTGCCGGATGTGAATGAAGAATATATCGCACCTGTTCTGATCAGTTCCAGTGCCATTGATATGATTGAGGTGGACAGGTCTTCTCCTACTTTCTATGGCTCCTCTCATGTCAATGGAAATGGTGTGAGAATATTGCCGGACATTGGTTCCAGTGAAGCTTAAGGGTTCTTTCATGCTTCTTTATTTGGGCTGTGACTAATTCTAGTAGATATGTGAAGAGTAAGAGATTTACTGATATTGGAAAGAGGTTATCTGTAATAGGAGTATTGCGATTTATTGTGGTTTTATAACCAATATACAGTGTTCCTAAATTCCACGGAAACCATCTAAAATATTCGATGATGCTCTTGTTTTTACTCCTAATGAATGAGTTTTCTGATGATTAAGAACTATATTCCAGAGATTTGAATTACTACTCGAAATTTTTTAAGGAATTTTAGCATTTCTCAAGATTTTTCCAAAAACAGATTGTGCTTTGTTAGATGAAACTTTTTCAATTGACTAATGGTGCAAAATAATCTGAAATCAAAAGATTTTGCTGAAACCGATTTTTAATAATCTATTATCTACAGCGAATTTTTATATTTCTACTTTCATAATCATATTTAACAAATTAATTAATTGAAGCCAGCTCTAATTGGTTACCCGATGTTCTTTTTGTTCATATTACTTAAATGTGTTATCTAAATTCAATATATATTCATATATATCTGTACATTGTTGGTGGGTAAGTGTGTACATACTACATACACACCAACTGGCCATCGGCCCAAGTGTGTTCTATACAGGGTGTCCCTCCAGGAACTGCATCGATCAATATATAGAAAACCATAGGTGGGCCTAATTTGAAAATTTTGGTAGTTCACTATTGTTGATAAGTGCTATCCGGCTAAAATATTTTCAAGATGGTGGCACTTCCGGTTATACCGGATGTAGACACCAACTTCGTTATTTCAAATGGAACACCCTGTATTTTATTTCATTTTTAGATTCTTCCTGAAGAGCTGATTTCATCAATGCATCACACTTGGGATCTACCAGGAATGATTACAGAGATATAGGGTGTTCAAAATCGAGATTTTTCAATTTTAGGATTTTTTTGTGTTGAAACTATTCATTATCAATCAAAACGTAAGCCATTTTGATGATCAGAATTCTGAATCTTGAAGCACCCTGTATTTTTTTCAATTAAATTCCAGTAGATAGTGAAAAGTTAAGATAGGGACATGTAAGCCGTTTTGATCGATAATGAATAGTTTCGACACAAAAAAATCTTGAAATTGAAAAATCTCGATTTTGAACACCCTATATCTCTGTAATCATTCCTGATAGACCCCAAGTGTGATGCATTGATGAAATCAGCTCTTCAGTAAGAATCTAAAAATGCAATAAAATACAGGGTGTTCCATTTGAAATAACGAAGTTGGGGTCCACTTCCGGTACAACCGGAAGTGCCACAATCTTCAAAATATTTTAGCCGGATAGCACTTATCAACAATAGTGAACTACCAAATTTTCAAATTCGGCCCACCTATGGTTTTCTATATATTGATCGATGCAGTTCCCGGAGGGACACCCTGTATAGGCTATGGACTCCATACGCCACACTAGGGGCAGTGCTTTTCATTGAAACGCAACAGTGAAATGTGCGAAATTATCTCCGGCCGAGGCAACGAAAATTTGATTTAATCACTATTTCAAAGATGAAGAAAATGCTTCTTTTTCATTTTTGACCAATTTATGTTATTGTGTGGACTACTTATATAGTCTGTCCATGTATTTTAATGATACTTCAGCAATATTCTTAGCATATCCTTATCAAATTCTCAGTCAATACAGATTTTTAAAAAATCTCGTAAGTTGTTTTATACAGAGTGATAACATCTGAACAACAAAAAATAATTTTTCAATAACTTGGCGGAAAACTAAAATGCCAGAATTCATCAAAATGTTTATGCTGGAGGCACCTATCTTAACAATCATTTTATTTAACTTTGGTTCACATGAAAAATACCCTCTTGTGATATCCATCTTATGTACTGACATATTTATACTCTAAATATAATTAAATTGCTTGTTAGATGAATAATTTCCAAGGTAATGGTAAATAGTCTTTATAGTTTCTGTTAAAATATGAAAATTTTATTTATGTATCAATAAATTCCGAAGAAATTCATTTGTGCTTATTTTTGAATTCCTAATATTTGTAACTTCATATTGCCAAAACTATGGAACTAATTGAGTATTCTACACAACTTTCGGCCATTTGAATAAGTTTTGGTATGGAAACTGAGAACTCATTTTATTTAAAAAATAATTTAATGACTTATTCAAAGTTTTCATAGAAAATTCACAACTTACAACATACAAAACAAAATGCAAAATGTTCAACAAATTCTGAAATATAAATATGTTATTTTTACAATGAGTTACTGTGTTTAGAACTGAGGTACTGATTTCTTCAGAACAATCATGGAAGACTTAGTGTCCTTTCTTTGATGGTTTGGCTAATTTCTCATACTTGCTCTTGCTGCTGTACCACAAAGCAAAAGGAATGGCCAATGAAGGGGTGGTCATCAGAGCAAATGCTAGCCAGTCCCAGCAATGAGACGAAAATTTCTTGTCATAGTCACGGAAAGCAATGATACCACCTTCACCAGGTTCACTGCTTAGAGACACTTGAATCTGAAAAAAAATACTACTTTGTAGCAATTGTAACAAACCAAAAATGACTATTTGCCAGTTGCAAGGCCAGTTGTATGATAAATTGATGATTGTCATACAGGGTGTGAAAAAATTCTGAATTGAGGAAACCCCATCAAGACTGTGATTAGAGGTCTGTAAAATCAAATTTTCATTATTCAAGTTTGATCCTCTTGATTGGGTATTAGAGTTTTGAAAAGGATGATTCACAGATATATATTATGAACATGAAAACAATTAGGATTTGCATTCTCTATCTGATAAAAATATTGATTCTCTTTCAGTATATTCAATAGATATATGTATGTCCTGGCATATGGCCAGGAAAGTAGTTGTTTTCTGTTAAATATACTGAAAAGAATTAAGATTATTTCCAGATAGAGAATGTGAATTATCAATGTATTTCTTTATGATACCATTCTTTTCAAGTTCATAATGTATTGGAGAATATTCCTTTTCAGAAAAAAATCATAATTTATTTAAATAGGGAATATAGTCATTAGGTACTAATGTTTACCTATATTTTGAAATATCAAGAATCATCATTCAAGTATACAAGAAAATCAGCAATATGAAATCACATAATGGATTCAAAACATTTTATAAAAAATTGAATGCTATTTGGTAAAAAAATCATTTGAATCCATATACAATTATTATCCTGACTTTCATAAAAATGCTTTTACAAATTTGGTGCAAATTTGCCTACAAAATTTTTTACTTCCTAATATGTAATTTTATAATGTCCATAAGAGTCCAAAACTTGTACCTCTTCAACATTAACAAATGTTAATGAATATTGGATAATGTGCAGATGGCTTAGAAGCTTTATTTCTTCATGAAAATTCCTCAATGATAATAGCCTCAGAACATATTTAAAATTCCAAATAATTGCACTAACCTGGGCAGAAGCATCATCAGAAACTCTGTAGGACACTTCAGCACTTGTGAAGTTGAAGTAGCCAAATCTCAGTGGCCTGACTACAACAACATGTGTGACATTAGATTGAGGAGGAATCCTATCAAACCTGGACTTCAAGTGGCCTCCCACAACTTCAAAAGCCTCTGGATGGAAGCCGTTATCGACGAGTTCCACATCAACAGCTGCTGATGTGCCGATGTTGAACAAGGTATATTTCACTTCAATGTCTTTGGTTTCCACCAAATATCTGTTGAGAATCTGTTTGGAGACCAGGAGCCTGGGCCCTGTGTCCTCTTCTGTCTCGGAGTGTACAAGGGAGAATGTGAGCAGGAGAAGGGACAGGATCTTCCAATACATTCTGGAAATGAATTAAAACAGCGTCAAAATTAGGAACTCCTTGGTGGAATTGAATCATAGCATACCAACAAATCACATTTTGAACATACCTGGGACGATTTAATATATCACTACACTAATATTTGAAAAGTAGAACGTTTGCTTATTGCTTCCACACCGTTCCAACAGACCTAACCAAATTGAAGTGCCAAAATGACAAATATTTATAACAGCCACGAATCGCCACGTCTTTGAGAAGTTGTAAAGTTGGCTGGATTAGTTTCATGGATCGACTATACACTGGCGCTGCCTTCGAAAAATGTACTAGATCAAATTTGCAAGCGTGACGTCAAATTCAACGTTGCATAGAACCAGGATAACAGAACCTTGAATCACAGATCCATCAGTATCCACATATCCACTGAACTATAGTTGCAAGAATTCAAATAACCATGACTTTCGGTATAGATGAATTTAGATGGAAATAAGTAGATATTTCCATCTAGCGAGGTATTATAAGCACTATGAGCAGGGCAAAGATTAACGAGTCCTCCTGGATAATCGATGAACAGAGCCAATTTATATACTGGGTGATCTTATAAGTCAGCATATTAAAAGGATATTATAGATGAAAATGACTTTTAGAGATTTATTCCTTCAAACAAAAAATCATATCCCATAGGAGTCTGTTTGAAAATCACAATTTATTCATATAAATGTATACTGACATTACAAAACATAATAATTATTCTGTTCATATACATTTCATGTAAAGTGAACAAAATCGAAAATCTGATTGTAAAAATTTTCCAAAATAATAAAGTTGGTAGGTACTGGATAGTTTATATAATAGACTAGTAGAGAACCTACAGTGAGGTAGGTACCTGAGAGTATGAATAGAAATATATTATTGTTAAATGGAAATGACAATCTGTTTTTGAAATGAACTGTACTACTTTGACTTTTAGAAGATTCTAATTACCAAATGCTCTCATTACTTGATCAGCTACTTGACTTTCTATATTTTCTTTGGGTAAAAGAGCTGAATTGAGCATGTATTCAGATACTGTAATGTAAACTCCTACACAAGAGCCAATAATAGCTGCCAGATACATATTTTTGTTGAAGATTATACATGTGGCTATGCACAAACCTAGATATGTCAAATACCTAGAGAAGAAGACAAAATTCTTGCGATTTTCTTCTGAAGAATCTGAAAAACCACAGATTAGTTGTCTGTTTTCCAACCTAGATTTAGGAAAAACTGTACCTAGGCATAAATTATCCTTCCTGTAGTACCCAGTAGCACAGTTCTTGCACATATCAGGACCATCCCCTGTGCAACCAGCACAAGACCTATCACAGTCCAAGCACCTGTAGTCCCCATCTTTATTAACACAGAATTGCAAAGGTGTACAAGGGCTCACAGGGGCTGCACACTCATTTATATCAATACAGCCTTTTTCTTTATCTTGCATCCATCCAGATTTACAAATAACACAGCCTAAAACAAATATGAAATGCCAGATAATACCAAGTTGTTTACATTGAGTTCAATGGATAATACATGAAGATCTACTCATGTTATTGCCATCTAGTGGCATAGTTCTATGGTAGGATCATGCATCTATAGTCAACATGTGCAGACCCCTACATCTACAACAAAGTGGTTCTAGAAGAAAAACACTGTGCTGACAGATGGCACTACCTAAATTCTTGAGTGGAATGATCCACCAGTCCTATTTATTGAGCTAGATCTCATAACTAAGAGATCAGGATGAACACCCAGGTATATCACCCTTTGAAATGGGTAAAACACAGTCCTCTAGCTCTTGCTGACTACTGGGGCAACTCTGTTCTTCCTAAATCTCTCAGTGATGAGATCAAGTACAATAAATATGATTCTTTTCATTGAAACATTCTATTTAAAAGTTAATTTGAGATATTTCACCTGTTGGTCCAGCTTTGGTACAAGGTCCATCACATGAATCATGGCAAGGAGAACAGAGCAATTTTTGTTCATCTTTGTATGAAACATAATAATTCACAGCACAATTGTCACAGTAGTCTCCTGCATAACCCTGTTCACAATAACATTTTCCATTTCCCTTGCGCGTTCCTGATCCCTTGCATTTTCCATTACTGTGGCAAATGTTGTCTGGGAAACCAGGACAAGGGGTACAGTTTTTTCCATAGTGCAAGTCAGGACAGCACACAGTGAAGGTGTCTATGCACAAATACTTGTATAGGTCGGGCTCCTCATTCTGTTTTCCAAGCCACCATTGTTCTAGTTTTTCTTCATAGTCTTCTATGAGATTGTAACACTGGTCCTTACCATCTTTCACTTCAGAGCAAAGGTGTTCTTGGATCTCTACAAAACGTATCTCACTTGTGGCATAGCTGCCTAATTTTTCTTCTTCCCAAGCTGTGTCACCACCCTCAAATTTGAATTTTGAAGTTCTTTCTAAACCCTGAAATGAAATGTATGGGTAAACTTTCTGAATATTACAAGACTAATGAGAAAAATTCAGGACAACCTACTTATGACAAGCTATTTATTTAGAAATTAATTTTTCAAATAGTTGGCCATGTATGCCATAATCAAAATATAAATCCTATGGTATTTCAATTGTTTTTCATCAATTGTAGAAGGAAGTTGATAGTGCTACTGATCAATATTATTTAGTGAAAACTTTTGGACTTCATAAAATAATCAATGTGAAATGTAAAGTATGTATTTTTACCTTTAACATTTCAAAGATCAAAGAGTTTCATACCTTTTTGAATGATTCTACAAACACTTTACAAACTTTGCAGGGTGGTAGGATGACAGAGTTTTTGGGTGTATCCAGAGAATTAATTATTCCAGAAATGGAGCTGAAAGTGATCAGGAAGAAGGCAAACCAAGGCAGCATACTTTTCAATCCTGTCTGAATCTTCTGGCACTGGTATGTATATTTTCAGTCATGGAGATTCTGGAAAAATATTGATGAAAGTTGTATGAATAGAAACTTTTAGTTGGGGCTCCTTCCTATGAAACTGTGATTAACAGCTAGACAGCCTGTTTGAGAAAATGTTAGGTCAGCTAAAAGACATGAAAATATAAACACTATAATAAATTAATATTTTTGTCTAAAAATTCACTCAAACATCTTGGAGCCGAGGGCTTATTATCTATGATGCCATGTGTTTGTTGTACGTGCGAAAATTCTATTGGCAGAATTTATAGACTAGAAAACTCAACTTTTGCTGTGAGCTGTGAGTTTCTGAGTTTAAGGTTAGGTCAGGATTTGCAGTCAATCTGCAGTTTGTGAAATTCGAGGTAAGGGTAGGATCGTATAATCTAATCATCCTTGGTAGATACCTTTGGTAGATACACAGTTTATGTGGTAGATATCAACATCAAGTAGATATCTTTTTTGTGAGGGATGTATTTGTGAGTAATATATAACTTACAGTTTTCTATGTTCTGAATAAGCCCAGAATAAGCATCCTGGACAGTCAGCGACATTAGGGCAGGAATCTGCTAGATAATATTGATAGCTCAATGTTTTTCTGTTAGATAGCGATAAAATCAGACTTCTTGCTTCTTGAATTCGTATCATGATGGGTGTTGAATGCCTAAAAAAAGGTTCGTTGAAAGATCGGACGATAAATATAAATTTAAATAGCAATGGGTGTCCCACTTTTTAAAATGGGTCACACTGTAGGTACGGAATTAATCAAAGTGAAATCTCCGAAAATATTTTTTTACCCATTAGGTATAGTAGGTATATTACTAAATTGAAACTAAAAAATATATGCCTATAGTAAGGCCTATGGCCTATACCCTACAATAATTATGTTGACTGGGCCGTCAACAACATAGTAGACCAGGAATCTACAATACAATATTGACAGCTGAATTTTTTTTTCTGTTAGGAAGAGCTTCCACTCGAAAAAAGGTTGGTTCTAAAATCGAACAAAAAATCAATCTTTTTTATGTATTCTCTCTCTCTGCTGCCGGCGCATATGCCATACTTTTTCAAATGGGTACGAAATTAATCAGTGTGAAATGTCAAATGTCCTTGTTTTTTTCAAATTTTTAGTATAGTATATTAACTAAATTAGAACTAAAAAATCAATACCTACCCTACCTATTGAAATAGAAATGGAATGTTCCCTATCTTGTTCATGTTTAAGCAATTATGTTATCATTTCCCTGGCTATCATGATCCAATAATCCGAATGAACCATTGTTCTTTAAACATATTTTATAAATATTAATTTCATTCCTTGAATGCACGGAATTCCTAGAAGAGCCATGCACATATAGATAAGTTAGTATAGGTATATTCTTTTTCAAGGTTTTGACTTTATACCTATATATAGGCAAAGATTACTGAATGCTATAGGTAGGTAAGTATTTTTGGGATGAAGTGGATCAAACATGCATATTATATTTCATGAACCAATAAGTTACTTCATCTGAAGAATTTTCAGCAATTTCAAAGAAATCTGAAGTCGGCATAACTTACGAGAGATCAGAAAATAATTATCGCATTCAAAACATTCTGTTCACCTTCACCAAATTTTCAAAGGAATTCCAAGGTATTATTTGGTGAATACCTATATAATTTTGGCATTTCTTCGAATTATATATATCTACTTGGTTGGAATTGCATGTTGCTTCAAAAATCAAAGTTGGGTTAACAGAAATTTTGATTGCGATAATTTCATGAAAGTCCTGAGACCTTTTTTTCAATTTGTACAGGGCGGAGACTTTAACATGAATAAATTCACTAGTGCGGGGAGGTGAATGGCGTAATAACTTTTTAATGTATTTAAGTACCTACATTTTGCAAGCAATATGGAGAATATAACCCTTAAGGAGTAGCTGAAATCAGCCCCATCAACATGTTTTTTCAAAGGCGTGTGACCCCTCATAGAAAAGCTGGTTGAAAAATCAATCCATTGTACTGATGATCAAGTGTATGTTTGTTGTACGTTCAAGGGTTGTATGCAATCGAAACATGATGATAAATATGTAATTTTCAACTTATTTTCATCAACATTTCGATGTTTAGCGATACAGTTAAATGAGACATGATCACCAGTTTGCCCAACAAATATTTTGAGCAATTGTTACGTTGAAAATAAATTTGATTTTGAAATAACATTTTGATTTTATGCAAGAGTCAAACGTACCTACAGGAAAATAAAATTTCATCAGTACGCTGGATTCCTCTTCCACCAGCTTTCCAAAGGACATAGGAATGCATTTGAAAAAACATATATGTTGAGGGTGGTTTCAGTACCCCTATATATTCGTATGTCGCAAATTTTTAGAAAAAATGTTCATCCCCACGCTATATATGGCGAATTTAGTTATTAAATGTCTCCACACTGTGTATATAAATATATTCTTCCTTATTGTTCATTAATATTCCTAAATCGTATATGAGCTACTTATTCGATGATTGTTCAGATGAAATTTAGGTACTGCAATAATTAAAAAAAATACGTGAATTTCTAGAAAACTACACAGAGTGTTCCGAAATAAGAACACATATTCTCTCAACTGTGGTAGAATAGTCGGCGACCTTTCACTTTTCTATAGATACTTCCATACGGGAAATATTCCTCACAAATCTCTGGCTCTATATATAATTCCATCACTATAGCAATACCAGCCAATGGAAGTAAGTCCCAAGAACTTACAACCTCCAAAAGGTAAAAAAAAATCCAACACCTATACCTCCTCTTCCTGTCCTCCCTAGGTACGCGCGATGTTCCACCAACATTATAAGAATTTCCTTTCGTGCGCTCCAAGAGATGAAAAAAAAGTGCGATTAATGATGTAGGTAATAGAAGACGAAAAAACATAACGGAATTGAAGAAAACATTTTTTTCTTGAAATAGAAATTTTTTTGAAAAATATTGAATTTTCGTACATCATTGATTAGCGTTGGCCGATCGTCAGTGCGGTTACTCTCGATTGAGGTTCATCATGAAGAATTTCGATTGATTATTTTGGATACGAATTCCAGCAGATATGTGAGAATGAACATTAGCATATAAAACAATAATCTTTGCTGATAAACAATAATTTGTCAACTCCGCAAAAGAAATGCGAAAACAACAGATGTGGAAATCCATTTTAAAATCATCATTCTATGGACTTCGAGATGGACTTCTTCGACATTAAATTAAACACGTGCCCTCATTTAAAGTTTCTTCTTGTCTTCCTTTTTTTATGAATGGAGATATACAGAACATTCTCCATACTAGAGGTGGACCACCCAGTACAGATGATTATTTTGAAGATTATTAATTATACGTGCATTGCTATAAACGAAAAATAAAATAATACATAATATGCAGGCGCAAATCACTGCTGACCATAGATATGGCGATAAGAAGAACGATGGTAGGGAATTTAAATATAAAACGTTGGACAAAGGCTTCGTCAATCATTCAGGTGATTATTCGCCATTTCAATTCATTATTGATAAAATAGTGAGTGACATCGTGGGAAGTGGTGAGGCAGGTAGGAAACGTACTTTTTTCATTTTATTTTTAGTTCTAGAGCTTTCAACTGTGTAGTGACTAGTGATAACTGAGCAAAATTATAGATAGCATACATTGTTTCGTAGCGAAAACTATCCACATCCACCCCACATATCTGGTGAAAAACTTGAGGTATATAAAGAAAGAAAAAGAGGTCAACAATGATTTTGAATGGACCCTTCACATTCCGAATCTATATATTTTTATATTATCGTGTGGCGAATTTTTCACCAAATATTTGGATGAATAGGTATTTTTCGTTGGGACTCCCTATATATATCCTATACACAGTGTGTGACCCTATAATAGAATAAAATCCTCAACTCCATAACAAAAATATATTTCAGACAGGTCGATTTTTATGATTGAAAATCTATTTCTTTACATACAAATTTTCAACCACCTGTCAATCTTCTACCCAATAGATCAACCCTTTCAACATTTTCAAATTGTGCAAGGGGTCTGGTTACACCTTCTTAGAGAGGTATTTCAAATCTCTATGTATACAACGGTCTACTTTTTTCAAATTCGGTTGAGCCATATCCGCAGGAGAAGCTCTAAGTTTATTGGAATTTTTGTCTACATTTTTGGTAATGGTATATGTCCTGTTTTATTCTATCACTTGTGTTAATTGACCTAGGTACCTTTGAAATGGGTTCTTCAAATTGAATGTCTGTCTACGCATATGTATACAGGGTATCCAGTTTTCAATGCTTTTGCGCGATATCTCAATTTTATCTTTGGAGATGAAGTGTTGCGGTTTTCACCTTACCATAACGAATAATGCCTCAAACAGAATTTTCACAGTCCTTCATGTTCTTGAGGTACAAGGCGAAGTGGAAAATAATCACTTTTTGAGCACCTCCAGAATCTTGGTTACCTTTCAACTTACCGGCAGGATGAAAACTGGGCCTTATATAACTTTCTTCGTTGAACACAGTGGTGTACTCATTATTTTATTTCTGTAATCGCGCATTTTTAGAAGATGAGGCCAAAATATTTTTCTATCCAGTTCGATTCAGATTTCCTATAGCTTATCGAAAATATACCGGTTGACACTGACTTCATGGTATACCGTCCTTTGCTCCTTAGGGAGTGTATAATCTCTGTCCTTTGTTTCTCTAGCTTTATTTCATTTCAAATTTCAGAAACATACCTAGAAGAATAGGAGACAAGGGGGGTATACCATATGAGTCTCTGTAACTGGGTGTAATAGTAGTTGTACTTTTTTTTTTCAGAAAACTGGACACACTGTACAATGTGGTGGGTACTGCTTCATTGTATGTACGGGGACTCGTTAATCTATGCATAGACGTAAACGAACATTCAGTATGAAAAATATAATTCCAATGTAGGAAAACTATAACCGTACAAGTGATACAATAAAACAGTACCTACTATTACCAAAAATTTAGACGAAAATAAATTTTGAATCTATCAACTGCTCTCTTGCTGATATGGCAAAACCGAATTTGAAAAAGAATAGACTGTTTTTTATTGAGATTTGAAACACCTTTCTAACAAGGTGTAACCTGACCCCTAGTATGATTTAAACATTTTGAATCGGTTCATCTGGAGGGTTCGAGGTTGACAGGTGGTTAAATTTTTTTTTGAAAAAAAAAAAGAAAGATTTTCAAAAATAATAATAGACCTGTCCGAGAATTTTTTAAAATATATATTTTTTATGGTGATATACGGATTTAAATCTATCCTATACGTTTCCACACTGTATTTATTTTGAATATGATTTTTTTTTGTAATCCTCTCTCTATTGTTGACGATCTGAAGTGAATTCTTTGCACCTTTCAACTTTGAAAGTTCGTTAAAAAAACTTCC